AACATTACTTCAATAAATAAATTATATATTTATTTTATTTATTTTAATTAATTTAAAATTTTTTATTTATTTTAATTAATGAATTTTTTTTTTTTTTTTTTTTTTTTTTTTTTTTTTTTTTTTTAAAAAAAAAAAAAAAGACAGCTACTAGAGAATTAGAAGAAGAATGTGGAAATCATATGGATATTTGGTTCGTTGGAAGAAGACCAATTGGATATTATAAATATGAGTACCCTGAAGGTTATATTAAAGATCTTGTTAAATATACTGGAGTTAAGGTTTGTTTGTAATATTGAGTTTTTGTATCTTTTTTAAAAATAATGAATAAAATAATAAAACAAACAAACAAATATTATTATTAGGTGTTTTTCATGAAGGCTCACATATTTTCAGGTCAAGTAAGAATTGATAATAAAGAAATTGTGGATTTTGCTTGGGTTACAAAACAAGAGATGGAAAATTATGTACATCCTAATTTTTATAACGCAATCAAGGATATGCTTTCAGAACTCTAAAAATTATTCTTATTTATTTATTTACAAAAAAAAAAAAGAAAAAAGAGATTGTCTATAAATAGATAATAAATTAATATATTTTTTTATTTTTTAAAATTAATTTATCATCATTATCATCATCAACATCATCATTATTATTATATTTATGTAAAAGATCAAATAATTCAGGAAAAACTTGTTTGTGAACATCTGATGCCCACAAGAAATCTAAAATAAATAAATAAATTAAATTAAATTAAATAAATAAAAAAAAACAAAAGAATAAATAAAAGAATAAAAAAGAATAAATAAAAGAATAAAAATAAATAAATAAAAGAATAAAAAAAAAAAAATAATAAATATAAAAATAATAAATAAAAGAAAGAATATAGTTAAATACCTAAATGTTCATAAGGTAAAATCTCCTTTACAAATACAGGTTTGGGTAATTGTTTAAGTAATACATCAATGTTTACCAAACTATCACTTCCTCCATAAAATATTGCAATAGGTGTTTTGATTTGTTCGGTAGGGAATTTAAGACAACAATGACCTCCCATAGAAGTTGTTGATGAATAAGGTGGTAATTCATCATACATTTGAAATTTATTGGCACGAATTATTTGGAACCAATGCTTTATACAATATAATATTAGATATAAAGTAAATTAGATTAGATTAGATATAAAGTAAATAAAAATATAGAAATAAAAAATAAATATAAATATAAATATAAATTAGATATAAAAAAAAAAACCTACCACTAAACTTTTGACACTAGTAAAATCATAAAGATGATAATAAGATACCGCCTTTTGTTCTTCCGTCATATTATTTCCTACCCAACCGAAAAGAAATTTCATACAATGATCAAGAATTTTGGTGAATATTGGAGGGAAAAGTACTTTTTGCCAAAACATGGTCATCGTTAAAAAAGCTTTACGACCGAAGAATAAATAAACGATATTAGGTGAGGCTTTGATGAATCCATCAACAATAGGATTTTGTAAACCTAATTAATAAAATGATGATTTACAATTCTCTTTGATTAAAATATACAATTATATACAAATTATATATACACACACACACACATATATATATACACTAAATACAAATATAAGATTACCTCTTGGACTTGTGGCTGGAGCCAAAGCAATAAAAAGATTTACTTTCTTGTTTAAACTTGGATTAATTGAAAGTGCAGCAAAGGCTTGTGCAGTTCCTTGAGAGAACCCGATATATGTCAAAGAAGGTGCTTCAGTCAGTTCAAGAATATACTAAGAAGAAGAATATTAGGCATCAATCGAATAATTAAGCATTGAAATATTTTGGCATTGATATTTAGAATATTATTAGATAAAATAAAATATAAATATTATATAAAATATATAAAATTAAAAAATTTTACATCAATCGAGTCAGGTAAATCATATAAAGCAAATTCATCCATTGAATATTCCCAAAACCTTCTTGAATCAGGTTTAAATTTTAAATGTTTCATTGAATATTTATTTCCTCTTGCATTTCCGAACCAAACATCATAACTAATAAAAATTCAAATTTAATTCAAAAGTTCAAAAATTCAAAATTCAAAAATTAAATAAATAAATGAATGAATGAATACTTTACCCAGCATCAGCCAAAATACAAGCTAATCTTCTTTCTTGTTCTAAATTACACATCCAAACGTCACTACACATCATAAGTCCATGATATAATATTACTACGGGTTTTATTGTTGTTGTTGATTGACTTGATGAATAAGATTTATTTCGAATAGCTGAATGCGAAATTCCACATTCATCAAATATGGTTTCAATATGGTTACGAGCTCTATCATGATTATAATTATAATTATTATAATTATTTTGATTATCATGATTATTATTATTACTATGATTATTAATATTATTTCGATTGTTACAGGATGAATATTTTCCTTCAGGAATACGATGAATTCCTAAAACATAATTGTCACGTGTTATAACAACATGTTCTTCCAGAGTATAACCCCTTTTTTTTGATTTTTTTGAATAAATTAAAATAAATAAAATTTAATTAATTTTAATTTATTAGCATTTCGAGAAGAGAAAAAAAAATTTACCAATATTCAACCATTTCACGAAATGATTTTGCACATTGCATCGCTTTTGCTGAATGTGTTCGCATTTCGTTATATCGCATAAAAAATAATCTATGTAAAAAAAAAACAAAAACAAATTAATTTTATAGTTCTTATCTTTGCGTACAGCCTTTTTTTTTTTGAAGATAACACATTGTTATGTCACCACTTCTAACCATTTATAATATATCATATAAATATAATAATAATTAAAATTTTGATATAATATTAATTAATTTTTACTTTTGACTTTGTTCTTGAAAGAATTGAAGAATAAAAGTTGGCAAAGCATACGTGACTACACGAAGCAACTTTTCGAGGAAGAATAAAATGATACCAATAATTAATGCCAAATAGTCACGACCAAGGATAGGAACCCGCATTTTTCAAAGAATTAATTAAATAAAGTTAAAATTTTTTTTTTTTGATTGATAAAATTATAAAATTAATAATGTTATTCTATATATAGTATTTGCTAAATTTTTAATTATGCTTCTTGCATATCACTTAACCGATTAAGTATATATTCGTATAAATTCGGAGATATTTAATTAGTTTTTGTTTATGAAAATACTTTTTATAGAATAGAATTTACGTGAATATGACATTATGGCGATGTACTTGCAGATCATCGTATATAACTTTTTTAAATTCATCAGTTATGAAAACTTGACTTTCTATCTCGGTGTTTTCTAATAATATAATAATATTTAAGTAATAATAATAATAATATTCTTATTAGATTCAACTTTGAAATTTAAAATTGTTTATTGGAGATTTATTATATTGTAAATTGAAATGTATTAAATAATAAATAATAAATTATAAATAAAATAAATTATAATAATTATAATAATTATAATTCATTTTTTTTTTTTTATATTCATTTTGTTACTTCATGAATTGCTTCAGCTAAATATTTAACATTACTAGAAGAGATTCCAGCAATTGAAATACGACCATCTTTTGTTAAATATACATGAAATTTTTTGGTGAGTGTTTCAACCTTTTACATAAAAAAAAATAATGATTATTATTATTATTATTATTATTATTATTAAATCATAAATTTATCATAATAATATTATAGATATTTTTCAAACCTGATTAGGAGTTAATCCAGTAAAACAAAACATTCCAATTTGATCCGTTATATGATTCCAAGAACGTTTGGATTCAAAATCTTTTATCAAATGTTCTTTTAGTTTACTACGCATAGTGATTATACGATCAGCCATCATTTTCACTTCATCAAGCCTACATTTAAAAAAAATAATAGTATTTTTTTTTTTTCATTATTTCTACGCAAAGTAAATGAATGAATGAATAAAATGAAAGTAATATGTATATCTCTTTTTCACTTTTTTTTTTTTTACCATTCTTTATTTAATTCCGGATCACTAAGTACATAACTTGCGATTCTGGCACCATTCATTGGAGGATTAGAATACATTGGTCTAATCACTAATTTGAGTTGTGAATCTACTGCCGCTTTTTCTTTTAAATTTCCAGTAATTATTGAGAATGCACCAGCTCTTTCACCGTATAATCCCATATTTTTAGCAAATGATTGAGTTAAAGCTAATCTATGTCCATCGGAAATAAATTTTCGAATAGCGTAAGCATCTCGATTGGTATCACCTGACGCAAATCCTTGATATGCCATATCGAAAAATGGAAAATGGTCACGTTCCTGCATTTATTATTGAATTATTAAATTCTTATGATTAATAAATTAGAATTATTTAAATTATTTATTATTATTATTATTATTATTATTATTATTATTATTATTACTATAAAATTATTATTATTATTAAATTATTATACTTTTATAATTTGAGAAATTTCATCCCATTGTTGTGGTGTAGGATCAACTCCAGTAGGATTATGAGCACAAGCATGTAACAAAAAGATTGAATTCTTGGGAGCATTCTAAAATTATTTATTCATTCATTCATTCATTCATTTAATTTATTATTAGTAAAAATAAATAAATAAATAAATAAATACCATATCATATGATATCATATGAATAATTGAAATTACCTTAATATCTTCTATCAAACCATTGAAATCTAATCCACAAGTTGATTTATCATAATATCTATATTGAGAAATTTCAAGTCCCGAATCCTTAAATACTGCATTATGATTACCCCACGTTGGAGTTGGTAAATATATTGTTTTATTATGTGGATAAAATCTATTTAAAAATACTCCTCCAATTCGAAGACCACCTGTACCCGAAATTGATTGTGTGATGGAAACCTTTTTGAAATTTGAAATATATATATAGATATACATATATATATAGTTATATATTTTTGTGAATATTTTTATATAAAAATAGATTAAATATTTTATTATCCAAGAATCTTAAAAAAAAAAAAGAAGATGGTTTACTTACTCTCCCCTCTTTCAATGGCTCAGATTCATTACCATACGCTAAAATTGCGGCTTCCTTAGTAAAAGATGCAAGACCAGTAATAGGAAGGTATTCTTTATCTAATTTATCCTCAAAAATTTTTTTTTCTGCCTATGAAAAAATTTTTTTTATTAACATATTATATACATTTATTATTTTATTATTTATCATCAATTCATTTTCAAATTTTTATAAAATTCAGATAATATACAAAAAAAAAAAAATATAACACTGATAATACCTTTCGAACAGCATTCAATACATAAGGCTTTCCCGTATCATCTCGATATGCGCCAACTCCTAAATTCATTTTTTTCGGATGACTATCCTTTCGGTAAGCATCAGTAATACCAAGGATAGCATCAGGTGGTCCTTTACACAATCAACATATTTAATAATTAAGAAATTTTAGCAATACATATAGAGTTTACCTGCCGTAATTAATTCTAACATATTACAACCATTTGCGACGCATATGTTGTAATATTAAAACTTTGTTGAAAAACAATTACGACAGGCAACTTCAAGTGCATATATCAACAAGTAAGTGGTGAGAAAGAATACCTTGAGGAACATGTGCCCAACTAGTGATAAAAGCAACATTCGAGGTCAAAAAACCCTTCGGACTTCGAATTCCATTACTGCGTAGTAAAAACCGAGAATGAGAAAAAGATAGCATTTTTTCAAAAAAAAAAAAATGAATGAATGAATGAATGACGAAAATTAAAGTTTAATTTATTTAATTTATTTATTTATTTTAATTTGAATCAAGATTAATTTAATTAATATCTTAAAAAAGTTATGAGATAATCAAAAGATTAAAATATTTTGATAATCTTTTTTAAACTTTATATTTTTGTGGATTATCTAATCATTATATTATTATAGTTGTACAAACACATTATATAAAAATGAATCCTTTTTTGGTCTCTCTCTTTTTTTTTTTTTAAGAAAAAATGCTAACAGAAATCCGCAGATATCTTTCTCTTAAGAATTATCAATATGAAATTACTACTGCCTTATATATGCTTGAACCCTGGGAAAAAGCTCTCTTTAGTAAGCTATTTTTTTTTTTTTTAAAAAAAATATATATATATATATATTCGATATGATTTATTTATATTATTATTTTTGTTTTTGTTTGTTTTTTAGACTCAATAGTTGTGGTAGTACTTGGTTTTCTAATTTACACCACTGTATTTTACTTACCTGAGCAACTTAAATATTTTGCTGCAAGTGTTGCGGATTATACTTCGGGCATTTATAACAACTAGAATATTTACTACTTAATATAATTAGATAATTGATTTACGTATTAATATGTTAATAATGATAACTGATAACAACAAATAATAAATAATAATAATAATAATAATAATAAATACAGAAATTTTTATTATAGTATAGAAAAAATATATATATAGATATATTCATATATATATATATATATATATTCATTTTACTCTAGCAATACTATGTAACATTTCTTCTTTTGTAATCAAATGACAGGTTTTTTCTATTAGTCCTAATAATGAATTAATATTATTTGACCAATCATTTAATACTTGATTAGCATCTCGAGGAGCAGAAAAACAAACAATTCCAGCGGGCCGATCGATTTTGGCATAAATAGTTTTGGAGACGACAAGTTTTGAAAGAAATTCTTCGGTTTCCTTTTTACGTTTTAATAATAAATAAATAATAATAAAATTATTAAATTGTTTTATTGTTCATGAGTTGAGTTTTTAATAAAAATTTACCTCTTCGTTGAGGTCTAATAATTGTGTCAACCTCTTATTTCTAATGCGTGTATAATATTTGGCGACTACACGAATGTTCTATTAAAAAAAAAAAAGAAATACGAATATGATGATACGATATTAAATTAATAATATTAAAATAAATAAATAAATATATATATATATATATACAATAAATACTTACGTGCTCAATCACTCGTTTATGTAATTCTTGCCAACGTTTCTCACCAGATTCATCATTTGCGTAAAATACGGGAGTTTGCCTTAATGCGATTCCATATAATTCTTGAATACGAGGCCATCGCATCAGTTCTGGAGTTGTAAAATGTTTAGAAAGTTCACTGAAAGATGATGATTATGTTACATATAATTAAGAGATAGATAGAGGGAGGGAGGGAGAGAGAGAGAGAAAGGAGTGAGAATCTCTATAAAAATTATTCTTTGATAAATAAAATCAAATAAAACATCAAATAAAAATTACTAGTGTAAATTAAGTTTAGGAAGATTAGGATCTTGAAAAATTCTATGTAGCAGATCGTGTTGCTCATTATCGTAAGGTGAGAGAACAATGAAATAGATAATATTTTCTAAAACCTATAACGACAATAACAATAAATGAAAATTAAATAAAATAAATAAATAAATAAATAAAAATAAATAAATTGGAGAGTAAAAGAAAAGAAACATTTTAAAATTAAAAATAAAAAAAAAGTAATATATTAAAATTTAAAATACTTACTTCTCTCCACTTTTGTTCATCTTCTTTAATTGAAGGTGTATCATAAACTTGAAGATAATATTTGCATACATTTAAATATTGTTCTTCATGTAAAGCATGTTGAATCATTAATTCATAATATCGTAATTTCAAATCCTAATAATAATAATAATATAAAAATAATTAAATATATATAATCTATATGAATCATCAAAATAATAATGATATTATTATTATTATTATTATTATTATTTACTTGTTGATCAGCATTCGAAAAGAATTTCGTGTTGATCTTTCTACTAATGATTTGCATTCGAGTGTAATCTTTCTTGGCGAGAGTTAATCTCATTTGTTCCAAAATGAAATCTGTCTTCTCTCTCTTTTCCATTGAACCAAATGTTTCCACCTATAAAAGAAATATACATATATGTATGTATTTATAATCAATCAATCAATATTATAATTAATTAGGATTAATAACGAGATTCTAAAAAGTAACTAACTTGTAATTCTTGTAAAATATCAGCAGCTTCGTTAACATTTCCTTCATCTTCTTTAATTTTGGATAGGAATCTGGTCAATCGAGCACGCTCAACTTCAACATAAATCTATAATGACATAATTGAACGTTTGGTTATTTAATTCTTATTTTATTTTAAATATTTTTAAAATAAATCACAATAATTCTTCTTCTTCTTACTTTTCCTTCAGTTACAATACGTAAAGTATCAATTAAATCTAACTTTGTTTTCAAATCCGGAGTACTATCAATGTATGTCATAACTTCTTGCACCATTTTCGTAATAGCCTATCATCATAACAATTATATATATATGTATAGTTAATTATTGCATATAGTTAATTGTTATATATCGTTAATTATTATATGAAGTTAATTATTATATATCATTAGATAGCTTAATTATTCAATTCTCGGACCTGTTTTAATTGTCCGTGTTTTTTCGATAATAACATAATATATTCATTCAACAGTTTCCAATCTCCATATTGACGACATAATTTCACAATATGAACTAATGTGCGAGTTGAAGAAACAAGATCTGATGCCTAAATAATTAATATAAAATTATTATTCACTACTAAATTGTCAACGAAAATTGGTTAATTATTTAATTCATTCGCATACCTGACGAGTTTGCTTTTCAAGTGTCAATAACTGTTCTAATGCTTGATCTAAACCTCCACGCTGTAAAATATATAAAAATGGTTTAATAATTTCTTTATTATACATATGTTTTCAAAAAATTATTTCCAAAGACAAAATAACGTAAAGAATGTATATTTTTTTAAAGGTACTTTAGCAAGTTCTTCGGTCTCTGGTAACTGTTCATCAACAATTTTTGTAAAATCTATCTCGGGTTTTTCTAATTTTCCGTCAGACATGATATCGAATTCGATCAAAAGACGAAAATTAGATTTTAATTACGTAGAATCCGACCAATTATGTTTACGTCACATCATCAAAAATTTATTTATTTTGATTAATTTATTTTCTCTTTAAATTAAAAATTAATAAATCTTCACTTTTATGTCGTGTTTTCACCCGATAATTTTATTATATATTTATTATATTGTTCTTCCGATATGCAATGACCTAATGCAATATTTGGATTATCATGTTTAGGTTTTATTATAGCAATATATCCTTCAGTAAATGGCTAATAATATAGAATTATATGAAATGAAATAAAGAAATAATTTATAATTAATAATAAATAAATAAATAAATAAATAATAATAATAATAATAACAAGAGGAATAATAAATAATCATTTACCTTATTTTGTAATAAATCAAATTCATTATTATTATTATTATTATTATTATTAAATCTCATATTTATATCAACCAACCAACCAACAACACCTGCCATTATTTGATATCTCTTTTCTTCTTGTTCTGTGGTAATTGTGGTAATTGCACAGATTTTAGAAGTAAATGATAAAAGATTTTGTTTTTTCTTATTAATTGTATTTACAGCTTTTGTATTATATTCTATATTTTTGATTTTTGGTAATTGATTTTGTTGTTGTGGTTGTGGTTGTAATAAAGGATGGCTGGGTGCTAAACCTATTACACATAATCTTTTTTAAAAGAAAATAATTAAAATTTATTATTTATTTAAAGAAAAAAAATGAATGATTTAAATTTATTATTATTATTATTGTTAAAGAAAATAATCAAATTTATTATTATTATTTTTTTTTTTTTAAATTTATTATTTTAAAGGCAAATTTTTGAAAGGTTTTTTACTTATTTGGTGCTTGATAAATATAAAAATCTTCAGTAATTTTTTCATCTAAACGAAAATTCAAGACATAAAAGATATAAAATAATTAATTTATTTTTAAGAGAATAAGATAAAAATATGGTAAGTTATTAAAAAAAAAATGATAAATATGATAAAATATGCTTACTGGTGCCTAACAAATAATATTTAGTATAATATTGATTAAGGTACGCGAATTCATCTTTTTTATAATTTTCTATAATATTTTCAAATTCTTTTAAATCGTAATCAGGATTATTGATGTTCGTCATTCTTTTAGTTCAAAGTTGTTGAGAGAAAGTCAATTTTTATAATTTTTATTCACAGTCACGCCTCACATAACGTGACGCCCAAATAAATTATATTATATATTTACATTTCATTTAACTATTATTTATGATAATAAAATTGATAATAAAAAAAAAAAAAAAATAGAAATAAAAAAAAAAGTTCAAATTGAGTTTATGGTTTATGCTCCGAAATATCCAACACGTAAAGAGCATCAACATATCGTAAAGCATTATTATCTTCTTCAAATGCGAGTAAATAACGATTTAATTGTGATTTCGATTTTGATCTGGATTTTAATTTACTTGGTGGAACAACCACGGATGCTTTATAAAAGCAAGTGGTTTTGGGATATAATGCATATACTAAATGGGATACCGGAAATTCTGGTAATTCTTGCGTTTCTCTGGGATGATTATTATTATTGGTATGATTATAATTATTATTATTGTTGTTGTTATAGTGATGATGGTTTTTGGTTGGGATTTTAATTATATTCTTGGATTCAACTTTAAATCGTCTATATAATTAAAAAAGAATGAAACAATTAATAAAGAAATATTTGTAAAGTGCTAAATTCCAATCTCAACTTACCCTCCGGGCCCTTTAGTTTCTTCATCTGCATCTTCCACTTCATATCTTTTTATATTCATTAAATTTCATTAATAAATTAGATAATAACAATAATAAATAATAATAATAATAATAATAATAATAGAATAGAATATTAGATGATTCAATCATATAAATATATAAATATAATAAATATAATTACTTTTTAATATCAGCTCGATAATTAACAATTTTCGCCAAGATCCAATTTTCGTCTGGGTCAAAGGACTTTGGTGCTTTTGCCGCAACCTATAAATATATATATAAATAATAATATTAATAATATAAATCTTAATTAATTATAATTAAGAAATAATTTCTTACAATTGTCCCTTTCTTTATAATATCTTCACTATTTTTTTTAAAATTAATATTAATTTAAAGATTATATTTTTCTTTAATACACAGACACGCACGTATGCACACGAGAGCGAATAATATATATATACACATACACTTTTATCCTTTTAATTTGGTGTTTTTCATCATTTTCCCTTACTTCGATAGTTTCACGGTCCCGTTTCCTTGACCACCTTTTATATACATCATCACCTAAACAAAATAAAAGAATATAAAAAATTATTATTCAAAAAATTAATTATCAGACAAATAAAGAAAAAAAAAAAAAAAGAAACTGGATACTGAAATTACATACTTTGGGACATTATTAAAAGTACTCTATCGATATCATTACTAATTTTTTTTCCCAATCTTAATTAAATAAAATATAACAAAGATAAATAAAAAAAATATAAATCATTTAATCAAAAAAAAAAAAAAAATTCATAATTCAAAAAATTTCATTTTTTTCTTACTTAATTGAAGGTTCGATGGCCTTTTCGAGTACAACATTTATTTGATCTCTAACTTCAGGCACGACCCTACATGCTATATAAACATTTATAAAAATATTTATAAAAATAATAATTATGATAATTATAATTAAGTGTATTAATGAAGCAAGTCAAAAAATAAACAGATATGTGTGTATTCTACTTTTATTGATTGGGCCGTGCCGTTGGTTAACTGATATCAATAATTCAAGACCGGAATCTTGAAGATTCGAAATTTTTTCCAAATTTTTATTAATTCGAGTTGTTAAAAGGTCTAATTGATCTTGTTCTTCGGAAAAGCGCGAAGAAGTGTCGGAATCATTATTGTAATTGTTGCTGTGATCCGTGATATACATAATAAATATATACTCCAGAGTTAAATTTTCTTTTTTGTTAAATTTTTTAAATTTTAAAATTTAATTTTAATTTTTTAAATTTAAATTTTTTAATTTTTTTAATTTTTTTTTTTAATTCTTTAATTTTTTTTTTATTTATTTTTTTCTGAGTTGTTTATGAAAAAATTAATACAATTACCAAATATATACATAAAAATAAATAAATAAATAACACGAAATACGAAATTAAGAGATCGCGATTTGAGTTCATGTGATTATCCCGCGACGTACAAATAATTGAATTTAGGACACGCTAACGCTATATGAATACATGTGATTTTTCCAAATTGAAATAGAATCAGAAAACAAAAAAAAATAAAAAATCATTCTTTACAATTCTTTACAACATTAAAGGAAGAATGGTATAAAATTGATGATCAACTAGCGAAAAGCTTAACAGATAGAATTAATTTTTTTTTTTTTTAATTAATTAATTAAAATAAAAATAATTAAAATTATAAAAATAGCGTTAGTCATTAAAAAAAATTATAATTATAATTATAAAAATATAAAATCAATAAAAGAATATATTTTTAGAAAAGTTCGATAGTTATCCTGAGTCTGTTCGGTTGAAATTTTTGATCTACAAAAGTAAACCATGTTCATTGTTTTTTTTCCTTCTAGATTTCTTTCTATAATACGTATCACCATAAGAAATAAGTGATCCAAATCAGGTGATCAAAATATTTACTTACACAGCGCCGACTATACTACATCGGACAAAACATTCCGAAGTACATATCATATTATTAACATCTCAATTCATATTATTCTCGTTATTTTATATCCCAATTTAGATTAATTGATAATTCAAAGCCTTTTCTGTGCTAAATTTATTATTTTTTCTTTTTCTGTATTCCTTGTGTTGACCAAATAAACTAATTAGATATAAATAAAAAAATTAGAATATAAGAATATAAAATAGACAATGGTATTCTTAAATTCCATTATTATATGGTAAAATCTTTTGAACTATATATTAAAAAAGAAAAAAAGATAAAATGTCTAGAACAACTGAATCACATTCACAAGTAGAATTAAAAATACATTGCAGACAATTAATAACCTCGGATTTTTTATCAAGGAGTAATGCGCAAGTATATTTATTAATTAAAGATCAAAGGACACAAAAGTGGGCAACAACTTCATGTTCTACTGAAGTAATTTTAAGCGATGCGAATCCTGATTTTGTTAAAAGTATGTTGGTAGATTATCACTTTGAAGAATTACAAGAATTGAGGTAAATTTTTATATAACTTTTGTATATTAACATAAATTAACATATATATTTATATACATATAATTTATTAGATTTTTAGTAGTTCATGTAAATAGACCAACTAGACAAGATTGGAGACAACAAGAATTAATTGGACAATTTGATTATGATCTTGGATCTTTAAGTATGTACAATGTTTTATTTTTATTATTTTTATTCCATATATTTTTTATTTTATTAATTAATTCATTAACAATAAATAATAGTGGGTGGTCAACAAAGAAGAATTCAAGGAAGGTTATGTGATCCAAGAAATCCAACAAGGAATTGTGGTCAAATCATAATTTCGGCCGAAGAATTTGCTCGATCCAAAAAAGTTATAAGATTACGACTTCAAGCTAATCAAATAGAAATTAGGGGATTCTTTAAAAAGAAACCAGATTTATATTTTAGAATAAGTCGAGCTAATGAGGATAATACATTTTCACCAGTTTATGAATCTGATTCTATTGTTTCTGAAGATCCATCTTGGCCGGAATTCGAAAGTATGCATTATATTTTGTCGAATGTAAAGAGTATAGAGTGAGAGAGAAGAATAAATTGAATTAATATTTATATATATATTTATTTATTTATTATTTCTAGTTTCGGAAAATACATTATGCAATGGAGATGAATATAGAACATTATCGATTGAAGTGAGAAATAAAAGAAAATCTTGTAAGTTAATATTAACATTTATTAATTTTTTAATTGTCAATATTATCAATATAATCAATATAATCAATAACCAATTAACAATTATATTATAAATTATTAAATATTAAATATTAATATAGCACAACCGATAATTGGGATTTGTACATTATCACTTAATGAATTGCTTTCAAACCTGACAAAATTCCAACTTCAACCACCAGCAGCAACAAAACTTAACAGTAGAGCATCTTTACGTTTTCTTCATGTTTCTACATATGAACCACCTACCTTCTTAGATTATATAGCTGGTGGTATAGAAATTAATTTAGTGGTGGCAATTGATTTTACTGCTTCAAATGGTGATCATAGAAATCCTACCAGTTTACATTATATCAATCCAAATGAGGAAAATTTATATCAGAAAGCTATTTCTAGTGTGGGAAAAATGTAATTATATATTTATTTATATTTTCTATTTAATATTTATATTTATGCTTATATTTAATTTAAAATTGTGTAGACTGGAAGCATATGATTATGATAAAAGGTTCCCTGTAAGTTTAAATCAACAATAATTTATTAGTTATATTATCATATCAGACATTAATTTTATATTATATTTAATTATATTATTAATATTTATATAGGTTTATGGATTTGGTGCTAAATTTAATAGAGTGTTGTCACATATTTATCCATTGAATAATGATTATAGAAATGTAAAATTTCAATATCTAATTATTAAATTAAATTATCTATTATTATTCATTTATTATTATCTATTAATCATTTATTATTATTTATTATCTATTATTTTTATATAGCCTGAAGTTACAGGTATTGATGGAATATTAGCTGCATATTCACATACGATGAATTATGTTGAATTACATGGACCTACCAATTTTTCTCCTGTATGTTGTTTCATTATTTCTTAATTATTTATTTTTATTTATATTAGTTTTATATATTTATATTATTTATATCTATATTATATTTATATTATTTATATATTATTTATATTTATTATTTATATTATTTATATTTATTATTTATATTATTTAATAATAACAGATAATAAATCATACTGCCTCAAAAATTAAGTCAGAATTGGATGCTGGAAATGATATGGTTTATTATATATTATTAATAATTACAGGTAATTTAAATCTTCAATCTTTAATCTTTAATAATTGAATATTTAATTACAATAAATTTATAACAACAATAATAATATATATCTATATATATATATAAATATAGATGGAGTAATCACAGGTATTATATATTTATTATTAATCATATATAAATTATTATTATGAATTATTAATTATCTCATTTATTTTAGATATGGAATCAACAATAAGAGCAATAATCAATGCTAGTTCATTACCTCTATCAATAGTTATTGTCGGTGTGGGAAATGCTGATTTTACCAAGATGCATATATTGGATGCTGATGATGTACCTTTGACTGTATGTTATAATTTTACAATTTATTATCTATATTAATATCTATCTATCTATCTATCTAATTATAGATCTATCTATATTTTTATTCTAGTACGGTAATACTCAAATGGAAAGTGATATCGTACAATTTGTGGCCATGAGAGATTTTCAAACGGAATATTCAAAATATTTATTACCTAAAGCAGTTTTAGAAGAAATTCCTGATCAATTTTTAGGTTATATGAAAAGAAATGGAAAATTACCTCATTCTCCCGCTAATAATGAACTTGTTAATGGTGATATTCCTCTTGAATATTATTAATAGCAAGTACTAAATAATTCTATTCTTTATATTTTTGTAATTTTATTAATATTTTCTTATTTGTTTTAATATATTTAAAATCATTATTATCATCATTATCACCATCATTAATTATTATTATTATCATTATTATTATCATTATTATTATTATTATCATTATTATTATCATTATTATTATTATCATCATTATTATTATTATTATCATTATTATTATTATTATCATTATTATTATAATTATCCAGCAATAATTGTATACTTGAGTGACAAAAAAACACGAAAAGTAATAAAACGATAAAACTTTATCTGTTTAAGTGTAAATGCAATATAAAATTTGGACTCGGAAAATCTAAAAATTAATTTTTCGGATATAATATCCAATTAAATATATTTTAGTCAAAACAAATATGACTGATAGAAAAATTCTAACAAGGTAATGATTATTTCGAAATGAAATGATTCAGCATATCGCAGATACATTACATAACTCTATCATAATCACATGGCAAAAACAAATCGTTACTACATATAGAGCTTTTTATTTCAAAAATTTTTTGTTAACTGAGAGAATTATAACGAGAATTTTAAATGAACATATCTCCAATTTATTCTTAATACAGTGCACGGCTTTCAAAATTATCGGTTGAAATATCGGATTCGGCCAATCAGGATTGGATCCGGATATTTATGTCAAGGGACAATGTTGGGACAAAAATTATTTTTTTAAAAATGTAAATGCACAAAATTTTACTTAAACATCTGCTTTGGGCTATTAATTAAAGTTGTTTGAAATTGATTTTTATATATATCTATAAAGTTTTAATATCCATTTATGGGTTGGTTAAGGGTGGGGACATTGGGACATAGGACACAGGGATAGTCAAAAAAACTGGACCGTGGTGTCCGGATAAGAAAGCTTCCCTTAAAGCTAAATCATTACCTGTAAGCCACTTTCTTCACACCCACATTCTAAAAATGTACTTTAGACTATTATTAAATATTATTTATTTTTTTCATTCGGAATATTGCCAAGGATGACGAAAATAAAAGAATCTGGTCATTAAAAGACCAGATTTCTTCATTACAATTGGAATCTGAACTGAATATGCTAGAATTAGAACGTAAAAGGCAAGTTATTGATTAAGATCTTTGTTACGTTATAAAAGTTTCATTATTTAAACTTGTTATTGCAGAAAGGCCATCCATCAAGTAGCCAAACGAGGATGTCATGCATATGCTTACATAGAATTTGGACAAATGGAGAAGGTACAGATTTACAAGGTAATATTTATATTGAACTGAAGCCACAGAAGGAAGTAATGATTTACAATTAACATGTTCCATATAATGACTTCCTTTAGAGAAGAGAACCAACCAGTATGAAACTTAAAGAATTAGATCCAGTGAATTACGATGAAAGTACAGATTATTCAGATGTAAACACATGATAAAAGTTGCTGTTTTCTACGTCTAATCTAATAAATTTTACAGACCGTGTCATCTGCTCATTATGACACATTTGCCTATAAATATGAAGATCAGGAAGAGGAGTGTGCAAATGAAATTGGTAAATTTTTATGGACAAGGGAGATAATAACAAGGTTCATAACAGTTATATTAACATTGCTGGATTAAAAATATTTCCTCAACTTAAAATAATGTGTAAAGGATAATAATTATCAGATATTGGAGAACCCATGCATGTTTGAGAAGGTGTTGGATTTTCTTATATTTTAGAATATAAAGTACCACTTAAAAATCCGTGTTTTTTCCAAAGTTTTAATAAGTTATGATATACTTGGATAAAACATTTGAATCTACCCTCTATTATGAGATGGAAAATTATAATGAATTAAAAAAATACTATTTCATTATTTCTATACGTGAAGAAACTCCATTTTAATTTGAAAATAAAGTATAATTTTTTATTTTCTTTTTTTAGTTTTTTATTTTTTTTAAACCAATGGAGCCATGTTTTATATGTTTTATTACTAATAAAACAAAAGAATACGAAAATTTGCTTAATATCTCCTCGCTGGACTTAATGATCTTCCACGTCGTCTACCCAACCTATTTCTAGGTGCACGTTCTCGATCTGTTACCGAAGGCGCTGCAGGTGCTCTTATGAAAGCAAAATCACAATGTAATGTTGAACCAAGGAGTTTTGTACCATTTACGTTTTCAATGGCATTTTTAGCTTCTTTATAAGTTTCGTATTCCACAAGCGCATATCCCTAAGAAAACAATAAATGAATAAATATTTTAAAAAAATAAATTATTATGTTCAATTTAAACAATGTCATTGACCGACCTTAACGAAACCTGTTCTTCGATCCAAATTCAAGTGTAAATTCTTTATTTCACCAAAATCTGCAAATTTATCAGTTATTTCATCCTCCGTAGATTCTTCATGAAGTCCCACTACCAAAACTATCCATCCTTCAACAGCTGTAATATTGTCAATAAAAATGAATAATATTATGTATCTTTATTCCTATATGTATAACTCTCACCCAATAATTCTAATTTGGTATATACAAATGAATATTTACATCTTTGGGCGCGTCCTGCGGCTGCATCCTCTTCGGTAATAGATTCAAATTGATCATATTTTTCGCCTGATCTAACTCCATCCCTGGATTCTTTTTAATTCAATTTAAAATTAATCGATGATCGGAGTTATTAGACTTAAAATTCTTGAATGTAATTTAATTACCTTTTGAATCACTTCTAAAACCACGACCTTTACGCTTAACTGCTAAAGGTCTCGTGTCTTTACATTTTGAATATTGCAAAATTACGAAAAAAAAAGTTAAAGATCGATCCACAATTAAACTTTAATGAAGAATTAGTTATGAAACTAATCGCGAAATACCTTCGTCTACAATCATAGTATCATCTTCATCGTCACCAGTATTTATGTCAATATCATAACTTTCCGACATTTTTTTTCAATTACTCCAAATGGTAAAACTTTTTAAAAACAATCGTTGCTGGTAAAGAGTGTACTTTATCTCAATTCACGTGAGTTTCACAGATCATAAAAAATGTATAAAGCGCCTGAGTGTAAATTTTAGCTCAAAAAAAAAAAAATGGGCGAAATCTCTCAAGAAATAGGTGATATCGGTAGCTCAAATTCAAAAGTTTTTGATAATATTTTTACAAACGAATCAAATAAGTCCGATATTGAGTTTAACGAGTCAAAAGAACAACCAGAATATGAAAGAAATTTAGGCGGCACAGCGGAGTCGCTTTTGGATCCTGTTATTCAACAAGATGAAATAAATTTTCAGGAAGATACACCTCTGCATAATGATAATGCGTCTTCCACAAAATCACATGATATGTCTACAGAGGAACAATCAGATCGACATGAAACGTATAATGATAATGAGTCTTCGAATGTTCCTTTAAAATTTCAGTATGAAACGACAAAAACAGATGATATGTTGACGGAGGAACAATCAGATCAACAAGAAACGTCTTTGCATAATAATAATGAGTCTTCGGTGGAAATACATGATATTTTGGCAGATGAACAATCAGATGGATCTGAACAATTCGAAGACAGCATAGATTTTGATAATAATGAACAAGACGATCAGATGTTATTAGTACAACATCCAGATGATGGAGAGGAAGATAGTGATTATATGGTTTCTTCAATAAATACAAACTCCGGATCTGAAAACTCATTAAATATGCGTGATGTGGCAATAATTAATGCAGATGATGTTTATACCCCACCATCACCTTCGCAAGATTCAATGAATAGTAGTATAGAATCGCTACCAGTTGGCGATGTTTCGGATTCCTATGTAATTCCCGATATTTCTCAATCCTCCCAAGAAAGTTCATTCCATGACGTAAGTTCATCTCATGAGGAAATTTTATCTCACGAGGAAAGTTCATCTCACGAGGAAAGTTCATCTCAAGAAGAAAGTTTACCTCATGAGGAAAGAAGAACTGAAATTAACATAACATCTCCACCTGATGATGACTCTCAATTGCAAATTCTTTCATCTGAGGTAAGGAGAGACGAAATTACTATAACATCTTCACCGGAGGAAAGGAAAGACGAAATTATTATAACATCACCTGAGGAAAGAGGAGATGAAATTACAATAACATCTTCACCTTATGACCCTCGATTGCAAATTCTTGCACCCTTAATAATCAATAATGAAATAGAGGATGAAGGCTTGGAAAGAATTCATATAACACCTATTCTATCGCGTGCACTTTCTGTAGATGAACCTTCAAGTCCTACAATTTCTTCTATTTCCAATAATTCTGTACGAGCACCACTCTTGCATCCAAATATATCAGAAATCTTATTTGGACATCCTCAAATTAATACTGTTAATTTTCAAAGACAAAATTTGAGTGCACGTGGGATGGCACTTGCAATTATGCATCAACATATGTTGGTACCATTTATTCATGGATTTAGTTGGGCATTTGGAATACATATTTATCGATATTTGAGAAATGGATTTTCGATGAGAGGGTTATTCCGTTCTTTATTCGCAGGAATAACGGGAACGGGAACAAGAAGCAATTCATCAACATAAAAAAAAAGATGTAAATAATAATTGTTAATATTTATATTTATATTGTATTGTATAATTACATTAAACTTTAATCGTAGAAGAAATTAAAAAATGAATTTTACTATTTGTTTGTATTTTTGTGTGGTATAAATTTCAAGAATATTTTTAGAATCATGTGAAATTTTGTATAATTGTATAATTTTGTAATAATCGAGTAAAAAGTAAATGCAGCAATTCACGTTTCCACATTTTAGTGACGAAATTGATTTGTAAATATTATTTTCATTATTGCTAATATTCTCAATGTTCTTCAATTTCTTTATTTGTTCTAAACTATTACACGCAATTTCTTTCACAGAACGCAACGATGCGAAATTCTTTCTTCTTCGTTACAAAGTTTCATTTGTTCTACTAAAGACCTTGATACAAATAAACAAATTGCAAATGTAATATTATTTGAAGCTTGGCAACAAAATTGGACTGAATTCGGTATTTATTTTTTTGTAAACGTATCGTATTTACTTATAAATAATGCATTAATTTACATTAATTTTCGCGAAACTAATATAATATATGACTGAATTAGATTATGAGTATAGTTTTCCCGCACCTCATTTGACAACCGGGCTTTATCTGCAACTAATTCGCATTTTAGACCTTGAGAAAGAATTTGTTAAAACGTTGTATATGGTCCCCCGGCAGGTAGATAAATATAACAGATCAAACCATATTTAAAATATTAAAAATTTTAAATAATATTGATTAATATATTTCTACGTCTTTTGAGAGGTGGTTTCGACAATTATTTGCGAAATAATTGGCTGCGATCCATTATTTTGCTTAAGAGTTGTGTATGATCCTGCATTATTTGTGGCAATTAGTCTCGATGTTAGTCAAAGAAAAGATTTGATTACTCAATTGAGGCGTTTGGTAATTGAAAACGCGTCCTCAATCACTGGTATATCATTTTCAATATTAAAATTGACATCTTTTACTTTATTATATTTGTCAATCTTATTCAATACTAGATTTATTTATTTTTTAGACGAAAATCACGCGATTGCATTAATTCGTTCAACGGCTAATCACATTGAAAATTACTTGCAATCCATAAAAATTGAATACATGGTTAATGAAGATATTCGATCGCGTAATACTATAAATGATGCGAATGTGGATTATATGTATTCTTCCCCTCTTTATCTTGAGAGATCCCCTCGCCGAAAGGTGATGATTTCAAAGTTATCAAATAATGCAAATTTTACAAAGTATGTACTTTAAAATATACTTTTTAATCACATTATAATAGTTTACTCAATTCTAAATTAATCTTGATTTCTTTGATTGCTAGTCTTATTGAAGATTTGCAAATCAGTAGTAACCATCTTAAGATGGAGGATAAAGAATATTTTATGGATTTGTTAATTATTTTCGATCACCTTTCCTTTGTTGCATGGTCAGAACATGAACACAAAAATAATTTCAAGATTTCAAAAGAATTGATTATTCGCAAGACTGTTCTTAAACTAAAAGATTCAGGCAAATATGAATACATAGTTATTAATATATTTTGTTATTATTGATTTAAATATTTATAACTTGTTCATATGTTATTATACATCTTATTTTTAAATAGAAATTTTCAACGAAATAATAGGCATGCATAATATTTCTAAAATCGAAGATAATGACACTATGTCAAATTTACTGAGATTTGCAAATGATATAATTCTGAAATTGCAACAACTTTCTAATTTAACGGTAATATGTTATATATTTTATTATTTTGATTATTATTATTTTTAATTGAATTGAATTATTGGATTTTAATTAAATTTTTATTAACCAATTTCAATTAATGCAGTCACGATCAGAGCGTATATCGAAACGGTATATAGAGTAATTTATATGAAAATTATATTTATTGAAATTATTAAGTTTTTTAATTTGTTGTGATATAGCTTACAAGAAGATAAAATTGGATACTTAAAGGCTATAAATCGAATTAAAGCCCGTGAGACATTGAACTCTATGGAATTATCTAATGCAGACGATAACCAATTGTTAAACAAACATGAAGAATCTTTCGTTATGATATGTCGTACTGTTCGTCAAAATCTCAACTACGACGCTTCATTTGCTCTTCGAAGTTTCAATTCTGATATAACTTTCAGAGTGGATTCTTCATCTTCTCATCCCTCGAAAAAGGATCTTGAAGAATATTGTCAATGGATAAACGAGAGCATAAGCAAGGAACTTATTGGTTACGTATCCCTTTTAAAATTGATGATTCAATATTTTGATCTTTTTGTGGGGTAAGGATATGCATCTATTTTTTTCTCCTAAACTTAAGCATTGTTCACATGTAGATTTATTTGATTAATATTGTTTGACATTTTAAAGTACTTCATACAATTTAGAGAAATTATCGACTTTAATTCTGGAAAATGGTCTACATGTTGAATTATATCAAAGTGTCAAGAGAATAATCAAGATAGTTCTTCAACAGAATCGTCTGCAAGTGGCTAAAGTTAATATCTAATATTACGTTAATTTTATTTTAAATATTATATTAATACATTTATTTCATAAAATATAATTATATTTCTAAATTTATTTAAAATATTACAAGGTCATTATTGAATTGTTTATTGAAACTTTCTCTAAAACTCCTCTACATACGAGATTAATATTTCGAGATTATATACTTTCTGATAGGTCATTATTGGAATATAATTAAAAATAATTTATTGGTCCTCTTTATATTTAAATTATTAAATTCATTTTTTATTCCTCAAAAAAAGGCCGTCAAATATGTCAATAACCTCTCCAACTTTTGATTCTTGGGATATTTGGCCATTTGATCTTAAACAAAGAGTTACTGCAATGTGCAATCAATTGGTTTCCTCTGAATTTATGAAAGATAAATCAGTGGACCATAATGATGATATAAAGCCAGAAATAATGGATTCTTTAATATTGGTATTTTATATTCTAACCAATCTTTTTAAATCTTCATTAGATTTGTGATTTATCCTATATTTTTTTTTTAGTCATCATTAGTATCTCCCTATTATTTATTGCATAGATTAATCTGGGAAGTCATCCAGCATAAAGGACAAGGATTGATGATTCATAAAATTTTAAATAAGATTAAGTCTATATGTTGGATTCGTGCGACTTCCAAATCTCCCGCTTTATTTATTATGGTACTTGAAGAGATACTGACCAAATATGACGAAGGTTCAGTCGCGCTAACACTCCAAGAAAATAAAAATTTGATTTATTTTATTTCACTTTCAATGACGGTAAATTTTGCAATATTTGCATTTTTTAAAAATAATGTTAAAAATAATAATAATGATTTTTTTTTATATAGGGAAATACTATTAAACAACCCACCAAATTAACATCATCTGAAATTGGTGAATGGGGCAATTCTAATATCCTTCTCGATATCAGAGAATACATCACTCACTGCATTGTGCCTTATTTGCAGAACTCTTCTAACAGTAATCGAGAAAGTACTTTAAAGTTGTCACTGTCCACCCTGAGTGCACTATTTCTTCCCGGTGAATCAGCGTTGGTTTTAACTGATCAGCATTGGTTTTTGAAGTCAAAGCCTTTCTCTCTATTGCACAACATCGCACTATTATATGATCAACGCAAAAATGGATACATATCAATTACAAGCTTTTGTCTTGTTTACACGTTACTTAAAGAATTTATAAGATTATTAACAGAATATATTGAGTCTTTTCATGAAAATTTGGAACGTGATGGTAAGTTGTGTTAACCTCTTACTATATATATCTTGATTGCGAACAATATAAAGGGAAACACTTAAATTTTGCATTATTACGATGGATACCAAAAATTACAACAGAAATTCGTAAATCAATTGCTGGCAAGATTTTTGATTTTTATAAAAAATCTTTAGAATATAGTAAGTTCATCTGGTTTTAAATTGATAATTATAGTTCATTCTATCGGATTTATTGGAATATATCGAATTAAAAGTTTTTTACCTTCAAAGAATGGACCACTCAACTTTTTTTGAGACCATTTATCCAAATTTATGCAAATATTTTCGGATTTAATGTTGGACGACCATTCATACCTGCTTCCCTTTGTTCATTTTGTGGAATATCCGAGCAAGAATTTTCTAAGATCGAAGATGTCAAAGTTTTGGTATCCGGCAAATCTACATTAACAATAATGAACCAAATAAATTTATTCTTAGAAGCTTGCAAATTGTCTATTGATTGGTGTCATAAATTTAGTATGGTATGGTGTTTTATTCATTTGTTGACCTATTCGAATTCGTTCCCAAAGATTTTTTATTTTTATTTTTTATCTTTATACGATTAATAGATGTTGAATGATGCGGAATCAGTATCAAAACCAGATTTACGTAGTATATTTCGATCATTTGCACCATGTTCATTTTGTACTGCACTTTCTGATAGTGTTAAAGAAGAATCCGAGATTTTATTGAATGTTTTAATAAGGAATTTGGTCTCCCATGGAATTTTATCTGGTGCTGAATTATTGACAATTGATGAGGAACATAAAGATATAGATTCACTGATCGTTTCTGAACTAGATATTGATGGTTAGTGATATTTTTGTTTTTTTCAAGTTGGAGATGTATGGGTTACTTATGTATATACGTTTTCTTTGGATAGAGCGAATGTTGCTATGCTGCGCAAGATATTCTTTGATAAATATATTGTCTGCATTACGATCGTTATTAATCAAAGCAAGTGAAAAAAAAGGGGTTCACGAAGTGCCAGAATTTATGATTGAAGAAGAGGATGATGTCAATTATATTTCCAATCAATCTATAAATGACTTGAACATTGTACAAAATATTATTCATGTCATAAAGGTAAATGCTCTTTTACAATTGTATTTTAGAATGAATATCATTATATTTATTAAATATTGTTTATTTATTGATGTAAAAAGAATTGCTTCATAACAAAAACGGTCACTTTAAATTATTTGGTCTTGTTGTTTTATACCATAACACAAACACTTGAGATTTTATCAGAATATCAAAAACTCGAAGAAAATGTATACATTTTTTTGTTAACCATTGTTGAGATGATTGATAAAAAGTTCACCGGCGACATATCTAAAGATGAGAAATCGTTTTCTTTAACGGATACGAATAAGTTATCAACTTCGAAATCAACTAATAAAAAGAAACGTAAAAAGAAAAAAGGAAACCAACAAGCGAAGACGTCGGAAATACTGGAGAATAAGCCTCGGGAATTTTCGGAATGGCAGCAAAAACTTATTTTTAATGGAATCAATAAAATTAAAAAACAAAATGGGTGGCAAGATACTGTAAAACGGGGTTTGAAATTTTGAACAAAATTAAATATGCAACTTTTTTTCTTAAATGCCCAATGCAGTGAAGTTGTAAATCTTATTTAATTAAAGGTTAAACATTCAAATTACAAACAATCTTTCAAATAAATCTTAATTTTAAAAATCTTAAAACTTTGAAATACAAATATATAATTTATTACATAAAACCATTCATCTTTCACTATTTCCAAGTATAAATATTTACAGAGGATGCTGCTATCCGGATCTCCTTATCTAAATACTTTCCTTCTTCCTTAAGAAAGGCCCATTCCTAAAAATCAAGTTAGAATTATTAAAGAATCGAGAATAAGCAAGAGTGATAATAATTATAAATAACATTGTAAGCTCAGAGTGTCTTCTCAAGATTTTTTTGTATAATCTCATACTCAAAAAATAAAATATAATAACAGTTATTAATAAGGGAGGTGAAAAGGGATAAATAAGATAATAATAAACACATCTATAAGTTACACCAAAAATAGTGAAATCGTATTTTGTTGATGAATGTCGATTGGAGATGAGTAAACAATGGAGATAATTTCCAGCCATTCGCGCCGCCAATCTATAGCGAAATTTGATTCCGGCCATAATAACCATCAAGATTATCTGCGCTTTTCGGCTCACTTGAATAGTTTTCGTCTTGTTTTCCAGTCTGATTTTCATTTTCGAATCCTTCGACCTGATTCTGGTCTTTTTTCAATTTTCCCCAGTTTTAATCTTGAGATACATCGTAATCAATCCCTTTTTGCAAACGATACCTGAGGATATAATTGTTTTATATTCGGCTGAATAACTAGTTTATCAGGTGTAGATGGACCGCTTTGCCTTCGTTTCACCGATAATTAACTCAAGGGTAAAGTAGATATTTAGAAGAATGTTTACTGATAAGGAATACGAAGAGACTTTGTAGTTGTAGCTCTTTGAAAATTGTAACTCGCTTTAATAGATTCTAATGCCGATTTTTCTGTATTCCAATCATCTCTGAAATCGTCATTCTGCATTAAATGAATATTTTAATTCATATCAAAAAGATAAAAAATATATATATGATTGCATTCTCACCTTCCATCTTTGTTCAATGTTCCCGAAAATCTTCATCTTTTTTTCAGTTTTTTTTTTTTGACTTTGCTAAAATCATTGAAAGTGCACAATGGTATGAATTCATAGCAGTTCGTTTTGTGCTACGGTTCAGATATCGATAGAACTCCAGTGGTTCGGGGTTAAATGAACACAACATCCATCGGATATTAGACTCTTCATTTTTAGATAACTTGAACGACGCACATATAATATTTGTAATAAAAAGCATAAAATATCAAATATTTTATATATATGAACATTGAAATCTGAGGAAAGCTGGTGCGGCCGAAGACTTACGCGTGGGTTATAGTAGTAACTTTGACTAGACTGCCATCGCGCTTAATAGCTTGCAAGCTCAGAAAGACGAAATCGAAATACTTGTAATATATAACTTGCATACGTTTGGGAAAGTCTTTTAAAATCGCGCCAAAGTTATTTCATTTTCCTTATTTTCTGTTTCCATCTTCGAAAAGAGTTTGTTTATTTTTGGTTTTGGAACGATCAGCATGAATTGTGATTCATGCGTAATTTTTTTGATCCACATTTCAAACTAGTATAGAAACGATCAGCTGTGTATTTTTGTACATGTCACGCAAAGGAAAAATAATTTCCGTGATGCAACCTTATCAATAATTAATAACGTTACTGCGAATTCTAGAAGCCTATCATAATTTTAATCGAATTCGAAACAATCTGTAGAACCGTTGCATCGCTCCAGAGTGAAATTAATCAACTCTATACACTTACTCAAAGCATTAATAGAAGGGGATCCGATAAGCAAAGTGAAGCATCATCATCCTCTACTCCTTTACTCGCACATTTTCAACTTGGTCATTTTTTCGAATTGATTCGTTATTTCAAAAGTATTTTTGTTTAGTATAAAACCCATGATGAACTATATTTAATCGGGTTCTATCTACTCGTTATTTTACACGTAATAAACACAATTATATATGTGGGCCTCCCACAGCAAAAAAACAGGTTCTCGGCTCAAAAAAAAATTTGTATATTAATTCAAAAAAAATTTTAAACTTATTTTCTCAAAATTTTTTTGAGCCGAGAAATGTGAGAGTCCCCATACGATCAGGTTAGCTTTATTGAAAATAAAAAAAAAAAAGATAATATAATGATATCACTCAAGTGTTTGAAATTCAATGTGCCAGCACAAAATTTGAAAACTCCGCACAAAAAAAAAAAAACTTATTTTTATTCACGTTTCACCTGATTTTGTCGCGCAAATTTACTATATGATTGGAACTAAATTAGTTTATGTCATGTCGTCTACCTGTCAACTCAATAAAGGTAAGCATAATTATAAAATATTACATCGAAATGTAAATTGTTGTATATTAAAGTTGACATATGTAATAGATAAGGTGTAAGGCATTCTCATGAAATAAAATTTTCATAGATTGCTATTTGGAATTGCATATTCAGAATATGCTTCAAATATTTCTTCAAGTAAGATTTCTGGATTATTGATATTATCGCAATACAAAATAATATTTTTTTATTACCTTGCTTTATCGATCCACCACTTACCATTCAAGATTGACAATTTGCTTTAAAAATAAAATAAGAATTGATCTGGTATTTATCAAACACTTATCTGCAATTTAAATATTAAATTATATATATTATAAATTATTTGATTATATATTAAAATGCTTGACTAATGAAACCCTATATTAAACTCCTTGTATTTCTAATACAATTTGGCATTTTTGAAAGAAGGTATCAAGTTCTAACCCATTCAAAGAAAGAAGGACAGCATTTAATTATTGAATCCTCATTAAGAATTTCTTTAATTATTTGAATGCATTTAGTCTGAAATTTGTGATTTTTTTTTCAATTTCTATTTCTGCTCAAATCTGTTCTAATTTTATAATTCTAGTTAAGATTTTAGCATTATCCCTCCCTTTTAAATTTATTGATCTTGATTTTGAGCCTGGAATTTAATTCTTCAATGAATCATTGTGAATTGTATATCTGCCATTGCTTTATTCAAGAAATGAATATATTCATTAATATCTCATATGATACATACCAAATCTCTAGTTCATCTATTATTAACCTTAAGAAATATTATTGGAACAAGCTAATACACACCTACCCCAAAATGTTAATCCAACCTTATAATAAATATTAGGTAAGTATAGAAAATATTATATAGAGTTTTCATTTTATTATAGATATTATCGTTTGTATTTTTACTATATCAATAAAGCTAGCCTCGGTAGCTGATTTCGTATATATAATTGTGTTTAGTTTACATGTATATTTCTGGAATTTATTATATTGATCTCTATTTATATACCATTTATTCGATAATTTTTCTTGGCGAAAGTGATCTGCGTTATAATGTACACGTGACGAAACCATCTAGCACAAATTCAAAAGTTTCATTTTTGATAGACAATGGTGAATTTTTTTTGATATATCATGATACGCGTGAAAAAAGTGGTTATCTTTTGATATGCCTTTAATTATTTATTTATAGATACATCAAAAAGATAACTATTTTGTCACATGAAAATTTGACATTTCAAAAAAAATAACCATAGATCTATCAAAAACGAAGTCTTAACAGCTCAAATGTGTCGCCTGAAAAAGTTTCATTTGACGATTTACTAGAAACTAATGTAAAGGTAAGTACTACGCTTACAACCACTCCTTCTATTCTATCATCTCATATATCTATTCGGGAGATGAGATAATTGAAATTAAGAAAAAAACTTTATTGGATATCAAGGTAAGTAGTGAAGATAGCGAATGTGATGATAACGATCTTTATATAGCTTGGAAAAAACAGAGATAGGTGAGGAAATTAATTCTTCACCGGAAACTGAGATAAGTATATCTACTGAATCTCAAGAAAACAAGTCAGAGACTCAAAACTCTGTTTCTTCAAAATTATCCAAGTTTTAATAAAATTAATTTCATTAACACAGAATTTATTGATGACGACGATGCAGAATATTATTATGATTTAAAAAACTTATAAAGAATCGTTTCATTTTGATTCATCATTGTACAATATTAACTTTAATAAACGATACGATTTATAAAACTTTATTAAGAATTTTATTTTTCTGGAATTTACATGTGTCGTAGACACTCATTATTACAAGTAATTTTTTTTTCTGAAATATATCAACGTCTGTGATACAGATACACTTATCGGGTTTTTAAAAATGTAAATTATTACATGAATTGATCTTTGATCGGCAATGGTGTCCTCGAGGACATAGATGTAGTAATTCGGAACGTTTACATCTTTGTTTTATTAATTACAAATCTAAGGTCACTTAATTTCCCAATCACCTGCGCAGAAAATGTTTTTACCTGTCTCCCTGGTTTCTTTATTAACTTCTATCCGGCAATTTGGTAATTCTTAACTTGGTTATAATCAACGTAACTTTGATCTGTTTTAAATGCAGATGTTGTATTTACCAATGATTTAACCGGTACTTTTCCTTCACAAGACAATTTACGAACATGGTAAACAATTATATTATATGTTATATCTTTGACTAGAAAAATAACTATTGTTTAAAGAATTAATTATACACGTTACATTTCATTTGTAATATTTCCGCTTAGGATATATTTTTTTTACAAATATAGACTTACACATAAGTGTACTTTCTAATTCTAGACTGAACGATGCAAAAATGGTTTGGGAAGAACAACTTTACGAATTAAGATCTTGAAGCCAAAAATGAACCAAAAGTTATAGTATCTGTTGTTAAAAGAAATATTGATGAATTTTGTAATTTCGGTTTTTTTGATTCAGATAATTTCTCTAATTCTGAAACTTCTGACTCAGACATTTTAATAATATGGTTTAAACCATAAAACCAATTATTACCAAGCAGAATATAATTAGGCATTTGGAGTCATATTCTTTTACAAGTACTTCATAGTTACTAAGGCAGGTATTATTTACTATATTAGAAGTAAAGGTAAATGGAATACAGTCCATCCAAGTTGGTTTCTAGTCATTCGACTCAAAAATTTACTATCTTTATCTTAAGGAGTTATTTGTCTAGTGATTCTTCCTTTAACCTTTTTATCGGTACACATAGATGGTCCATCAAATCCCGGAGATTAAGATTGGCTTTAAATATTTTTGCTTTCATATGTGAATTGTCGTTTGCTGATTCTTTTGCTGGTTCAAAATAAAAATTGAAAGGACGAGTAAGAAGAATGTCTCTAGCTAATCCGAGTCGGATAGTCTATTTTGATCAATTATCTGAATTAATTTTTCTGTAGTTGTAATGTCTGATATACTTTTTATTTATAAGTTTTGGACATGATTTGTATAATAAATTTATTATTTAAGGCTCAACAATAAGTATTGTCAAAAGTATTATTATTATTAAATAAAATTTTGCTCATGTGATATAAGCTAAAATGGGTGTAACTGGTTGGTAGAAAAACACAAATGTAATGCGACAATGATCATTGTTTTTATACTTATACTGTACTTGGATAAACTAGATTTATAAAGGCAAAAAAAATTTGTAATATCACACATCATTTTAAAATTATCGGTGGGTGGCTGATTGAAATATAGCCAATTTGTATTACAAAAAATCATAAATAACAAAATAATCATATTTATCGTAGTAGTCATTTTCCAAGAAAAATACAAAAAAAAAAAAAGAAAAAGATTATTACTATTGAAATTTATATTTTTAAATACTTCATGACTTTTAGAGAAAATAGAGGACAAAACAAAGGACAACACTTAATCATGCCTAAAATGAAAACAGAATTACCTTCAAAAATGTTAAATTCTAGAGAAAATAATAATCTTGCAGGTAATCCTGTTTCACTTAACGGCCTCAGAAATCCACAAAGATCAAGAAATATTACTGCACCTACTGTTGATGTATTATTAGAAGGTTTGGGAGCAGAACCACTTTTTGCTTCTATTCCTTCTTCTTCAACAGTTACTTCTACAGTTACTTCAAATCCTATTCTAGGACAAAATAATATTGTGAAAACTGAATCACTTGATAATATACAATCTAATTCTTCCGAAATTTTCAACGCGCTACTCAATAGAATTGATTCGAATTTTAATCAATCACCACCACCGCCACCATCATCATCATCATCATCAACGTCAACATCAACATTCTATAATAATAATAATAATAATAATAATTTACCATTAGTTTCAAATCCTATTTCCTTATTAAATGAGTTACAACAAAGGTTTAAAACTTTTAAACCACCATTATATGCATTTAGTACAGATCAATATGGTGGATTTATTTGTGAACTTGAAGTTTTTGGAAAGATTTACAAAAATTCTAAATCAAGACCACGAAAACAAGAGGCTAAAGAAGATGCAGCACTTTTGGCAATTAGTGAAATAGTGAAACAAAATATTCCGGAAATTACAGAATCTTTGAATAAAGATTTAATAGAAATGTATGATCCAGGAATGCGTAATGAATTAACGTTTATTCCGAAATCTCAAACATGGTTTCAAAAACAACTTAAAGATTGGCCAGGAAAAAAGCCTCGAGTAATTTTATTAGAGTTCTGTCAAATGCATCATTTACCAACTCCGATGTATGTTGAAAGAAATGATATAATAGGATTTCTCTTTGATTGTAGAGTTGGGGAACGTATTTTTAATTCAGATAATAAGAATTTTTGTAAGCAAGCTGATGCAAAAGATTATATTGCAGCTAAAACGTTTTCAATATTATATGAAGAATTTTGTGAATTAGAACGACGAATTGAGGCAAATAGTCGACAAATTGAAACAAACTTAGTACGTTCTTCTTCCGTTGGATCAACAACATCATCACCATCAACAATTAATTCGATGAATACAACAAATAGCATTAATGCAATAAATAATGATGATGATGATGATGATGATAATAATAATAACAATAATAATAATAATAATTATAATTATAATAATTCAATGACTCATATTACGGATACAGCAACTCTCGTGTTACCTTCTTTAAATATTGATGATGAATTTAAATTAACTAATTCATTAACATCAAAATCGACAACAATGTTACCAGTTGTTAGATATAATGGGACAGGGAGACAAATATCTTTAACACAACATCCACCATCACAACTACCGACACCGACAACGCCTCCAACAACAATTGTAACAATGACATCACAAAGACCTTTACCATCACAAATAACTTTACCATTACCACCACCACTACCATCATCATCAACATCACTTACTACAACTACAAATATAACATCACCTTCATTAATACCACCACCGCAACAACCGCAACAACCAACAATAATGGCGACATCAACATTATCAAATAATAATAATAATAATAATAATAATAATAATAATAATAATAATTATAATAATAATAATAATAATAATAATAATTATAATAATAATAATAATAATAATAATAATAATAATTATAATAATTATCATCCATATCGAACACCTGGTACGCATATGCAAAGAACGCAAAGTATTCCAGGAAAAAAATTTACTAGTTTATTATATGAATTACATCAAGCAAAGAAATGGAGACCACCAATTTTTAATTGGCAAAACGCTTTAGGAGGATTTATTGGGACAGTAACTATTAATGATCATACATTTAGAGGAGATGTGTATGCTAGAAAATCAGATGCCAAAGAAGCTGTATCTGAAATAGCTTATAACTATTTTATGCGAAACAGAATTGCGTAATGTGAAAGTAGAGTAAGTATGTTTGAGATTCGTTTGAGTTTTTTTTTGAACGTGAGTGATTACATCATTCATCATGATACGATGATGACATGATGATGACAATATGATATATACTAATAATACAATATACTAATAATATAATATTCTATAATATTTTAAAATATTATTACTGGTTACTATTATTATTATTATTAAATATATATATTATATATAAATGTATAATATATCATCATCATCATCATCATTTGCATTACCCACATATACATAAAAAAAATTCGTTCTTCCTAAATCAAAATAAAGTTATATATATATATATATATATTTTTTTTTTTTTTTTTTAAAAAAAAAAAAGGAAAATTTATTTTAAGTTTTTTATAATATGTTTTAATGTATTATTTAGGTCTGAATCAAAATATACGTTCTGTATATATATATATATATTTATTTATTTGAAATTGCATAATCATTATTGGGAAATAATATTGAGTAATGAGTAGAGTGACCCGTTACAACGGTATTAATGGTATCGAATGGCGAGTAGTTATAGACGATGTCAATGATGTGATGTTGAATAGTGTATCATATATTGTCAATTTTTATTATAAAAAAAATGAAATACGAGAAAATATGAACAATAACTACTGCTATCTGCTGTATTAGCATACGATTAGAAAATTATAAGAAACCATTTTGTAGAACACAATTTTATTAAAAATAATAAAAGATTCTTTTATTACAAAAATTATAAAATTATATAATCATAAAAACTTTTTGGTATTTGATCGTTACTATCTATCTTAATCTATCTAGCAACGATAATACTCAGATTATAAAAATATTATTATTCATGAAAATCAAATTAAATCAAATCAAATCAAATCAAATCAAATTAATTAAATTAAATTAGTTAAATTAAATTAAATTAAACTCGGGTGAATTCCAACTCCAATTAATCCATGGCTCCATAATTTTCTTAATCTCATTTAAAACCTTTTTTTCCTTTTCATTACTAAAGCAAGTTTTCTTTCTCAATTTATTCCAACATCTAACACTTTCTTCAACTTCTTTAGCATTTGAAAATCCAATCACCGTACTTGTCAAATCTTTTTCAAATCCAAATGAAAATTGGATAGCTAATTCGGATATATTTAATCCATTATCTTTCGCTAATTTCGCAACTTTATTAACTGCTTCACGTAATTCTAAAGGTGCGGGATGCCAGTCTGGAGGTGATTTTTCACGTAGTAATCCCATACTTAAAGGTGATGCATTAATTATATAACTAACATCAAGACTACGAAATTTATTGAAATATGAAGCAAGACGTGTATTATGAAGGCATAGATGAGAGTAACTGAGAATTATATCAAGAGGCTGTTTATTATCATATTGAATTTGGGCGATTTTGAGAAGAACATCGAGTGGATAACCTAAATCATTATTATTGATATTATTTTTTGTAAAAAAAAAAAATTAAAAAAAAAAAAATAAAAAAAAAATAACTTACCAGTTATTCCAACATATTTAATTTTACCCATTTTCTAAAGAAATAATAAATACATACATAAATAAATAATAAATAATAAATAATAAATAAAATTAGTAAACTATAAATTAATTAAATAAATTATAAAACAATAAATAAATTATAAATTAATAAATTAAGAATTAAATTAAAAAATTAATAAATTAAAAAGTAATAAATTATAAATTAATAATTAAATTAATAAATTAATAAATTAAAAAGTAATAAATTAATAAAATTTACCTTCAATTCAAATAATTCCATTAATGCATTCTTCACATCACTTTCATTAACAAATTCTACATCATGACAATATACAACATCTAGATAATTAGTATCCAATTTATTACAACTTTCTTCCACACTTTTTCTCACACGTTTAGGTGAATAATCAAAATCTTCTTTATTTGATCCATAACGTCCAACCTTGGTAAATAAATAATAAGTGGAACGAGGATATTTGGGTTTAAGGATTTTTAATATTGTACCAAGGATTTCTTCACTATGGTTGTAATAGGGTGAAGTATCAAATGCATTAATTCCTGTTATGTGATAAAAATAGATAGATATATATATAAAATATAATATTATAGTAATACAATTATAATATGAATTTAAATTTAATATATTTATATAAAATACCAAGTTCAAAAGCTCTAGTTACAGCTTGTAATGGCCATTCCTTTTCAATAGTATTATGCCAACCACTGAAAACAGCCGCACCAAATAATATTTTTGATACTTTGAGTCTTTTTTGGTCAACTGCCTGTTTATTTTATTTTAATATATATATATATATATATATAATTGTTCATAAAAAAATATAAAATTTTTTGTGGGAAATGACATAATAACTACTTCTCTACTAGTTAAGGGTGTCAAATCCATGTTTGATAAAAGAAATAATTTTTTATTCGTGAAATTTACAGGTTAGAACAAGTCAAAATGAGGCTTAATTCATAAAATTATTTTTTAAAAAATCATTTTTGATAACTGAATTTATTGGTTGATAAAAACAGTAAATCTAAAAAAAAAATTTAATCTTTTTAATATAGCAAGAAATTCACGTGTTACGTAATACTGATCTAAGATTTTTTTTTAAATTTGAGATTGAAATTCTCATTTTTGTCAAAATAAATGTCAAATATTCTTAATGAAGAAGTGAACCAAATTTGTGGCATGTAAATTTTATTTTAAACCATTTTTTTTTTAAAAAAAATGTTTTTATATTATATTTATTATTCTCCTCTCTTATATATATATATAGTTGCAAGCGGGTGCCTTTTAAATATACTTGTCCGAAATGTGATCTTAAATATTGCTCGCTTAATTGTTATAAAAGCGAAGTATGTTGATTACATGTACATGTATTTTTAAACAACATTAATAATAATATTTTATAATAACGATAATTAAGGATCATTTAGAATGCACAGAATCCTTTTATAAACAAAATATACTTGAAGAAATAAAAGTTCAACGAGCAGATGATGAACAAAAAAATCGTTTGTTGGAAATATTGAGTAGATTTGAACAAGAGGGAGATGAAATGGCAAGAGATGAGTTTGAGGAAGATTATGAAGATGATGATGAAGGTTAAAAATTTTAATTGTTTTTTTAAATAATTTTAAATAATTTTATAATTTTTAAACGATTTTTAAAAATCTTTATTTTAATTCACTTTGTTTAGACGATTTTGTTAATCGATTTAAAGATTTTGATATAGGTAATTAATTACCTATTCAAATAATTAAATTTATTAAATTGAATTTTATTATTAATTTCAATCATATATATATATATATATATGTATATTTTCAAAGATTCCACTGATTTCGAAACAATTTGGAATAAACTAAAACCAATTGAAAAGGCAGAATTTAAATCAAAATTTATTGACAGAAAATTTTCAGAAAATCAGAATAATTTATCAGAATTATCTGAAGAATTAACAATTTGGAAACCATGGTGGGAAAAAGAATCCAACAAGAAGAAGAATAATAATAAAATTATAAAATTTGTAGATGATGAAAATGAAAAAGATAAATATAAAGATAATGGTGATGATGAATATGATAAAAAGAAATCTCAATCAGAAATATTACAAAATAATGATGAACCAATTGTGTTAAAGGATATAAAAAAATTAGAAGAATTAACAAAGAAATCACCAAATCCAAATTTAATTATAAATCTAGTGAACATATTGTATCCTTAAATTTAATTAATTCAATTGATTCAATTAATTCGAGTTATATTTTATATTTAGAGAAGAGAATATTGAATTATCTTTAACTAAACTTTAATTCAATTACTTTAAATTTTAAACCTTAATTTAATTATCTATCATTTATTTAAATTTAACTTTAAACTTAATTATGAATAGATATATATATGCATATACGTGTCGATATTTCAACGGAGATATTTATGAAGACCCCGAAGAAACAATTAATGTGATATGGCAACTATCACCAATTTTAGGCAATAACGAAAACATTATTTATGAAAATGTATCTCAAGCTATTGTAGCAAGTAGTAATGTTATTCTTCAGGTAAAATTATCAATTTTTTTTTTTTTTTATGTTAATTAATAGTAATAATAAATTATAAATATAATTTATTAATTATAATAATATTTATTTTTATAAATAGAATCCACAATATAGTCAACCACCAGAATTTTTAAATTTAATTCTAAATGATGTTATTTATTTACTTTCATCTTTGGAAAATATTCTTTCTTCACTTTCTGATCTTTATAATCTCTTTCACCTAGCAAGTCAGAATCTTAATCTAGAAAGTGGTAACAAACCAAAAAAGATTATCACTACTAAATCCAACACTAATATATCATATTATAGGAAATTATTTCTTACAGAAAAGAAAATTTATTTTTATTTAGTATATATGAATTCAATTGGACAACGAAATAAGGAAGAAATGGATGAATTAATTATTTTAAAAGTTCTGAAAAGTCAAGTTGAAATTGAGAAAGAAAAAAGAATTAAAGAATTAGAAATGTATAATAAAGATAAAGATAATATTGAAGAATTAATAATAAGAAGGGGTAAAAAAGATGAGAAAAATTTGGATAATAATAATTTAATTACTGAGATATAATTATTTTATAAATATTTTATTGTTTTATAAATTTTTATTGTTTATATTACATTTAATAAATTATATAAAATATATTGGTAATAATTAATTATATATAAATTTAATATGCAATATTTTGATCTATCTATTATTTCTATTATTAATAAAGTTCAGTTTAATTTCAATTAATTACATCATATATTCAACGGTAGGTCGAGAAGTCAAGAATTTTCCATCGTTTCTAGATTTTAAGATATTTTTACTCATCCATTCCATTCCTTGCATTTCGGTTAATCTAGAAATTGCTCTTTCAAATGCAAAAATCTCTTCTTCCCCTGTAAATATAGGAATAGATTTATGTGAATCATGAAGATCTAAATCATCTATTAAATCATAATTTATGTGATAGTGATGATTATTATCATTATCTGATTCTGTATAGAAGAGATCTCTTGGTGGGACTTCTGCAGAACATATTAATATTGACTAAATAATAGTGTATAAACAATAAAGTAAAACAATAATAATGTAATTTAATTAATAATGTAATTAATAATGTGATTAATAATATAATTAATAATGTAATTAATAATGTAATTATTAATGTAATTATTAATGTAATAATTAATGTAATTATTAATGTAATAATTAATGTAATTATCAATGTAATTATTAATGTAATAATTAATGTAATTAATAATATAAAATAAATATAAACATTATACAATTATAATATAATAATTAATAATTAAAAATAAATAATTAAAATAAAATTACACTCACTTTTGTATCATACACTGCATCAATAAAAGTAATAAATCTTCTTGCTTCATTTTTCATACTTAAAGATAATCTTGGTATATCAGTAAGTATAATGGTGTTATAATGTTTAGTAAGTTCTAAATAATCAGCAGCACTTAAAGGTTGACAACATAATTTATAAAAATTGAATTTAGCTACATTATCACTTGATTGTGGTATAGTTAATGATCTACCCCAAAAATTTAATTTTTTATCATAAATTAATTGTTTTCCTTTGGTTAATGATTTAAAAGTATTTTCTATATCTATTGATGATTGAGTATTTAAAGGAGTAAACCAAGCTCCAGTTATTTCTCGAGTTAATTTACGATAATCAGTTCCAGAATTTAAAGATTGAATATGACATTGTTGTTTTAATAATTCAATACAAGGAATAAAACTTGATCGTTGAATTCCATTTTTATATAAATCATCCGGATGTCTATTTGATGTGGTAATCATAATTACTCCACGTTTAAATAATTCATCTAATAAACGACGTAAAATCATGGCATCCGCTATATCCGTAACTTGAAATTCATCAAAACATAATATAATTGATTCATTCGATAAATCTGTAGAAATTGTTGGTATAGGATCATAATGTGAATTGGTTGAATTGGTTGATTTAAGTTTATGAACACGTGCGTGAACATCTAACATGAATGCATGAAAATGAACACGACGTTTTCGTTCGGTTTGTAAAGTGTCATAGAAAAGATCCATTAACATTGTCTTTCCTGTTCCAACGTCTCCATACAAATATAATCCTTTATTATTATAATTATAATTAGCAAATGTATTTTTACCAAATAATTTTGTAATCTAAAATATATAGGAAATATAAAAATATATGAGATATGAGATATGAGATATAAGATATGAGATATGAGATATGAGATATGAGATATGAGATATGAGATATGAGATATGAGATGTGAGATATGAGATGTGAGATATGAGATAAGTGAAGTAAATATATAAGAAATTTTTACAAGAAATAAAAATCAAACAGTATAATGAAAATATACCATTCCAAAAATTGATCCGTTGTCTTTTAATTCAGTTGTTATAAGTGGAGGATCATAATTCTCTAATCGATCATGTAAATCTTGAAGAAGATTAACAATACTATATTGAAATGAATCCTCTCTTATAATTCCAGATTCAACTAGAGAATTATATCGTGAAATTGGTCCACCTATCATCAAAAATATATATAGAAATATAGATGAATTTAACATTATAACTTTTACCTTGCGTACGAGAGAAAAAAAAAACGTACTCTTCTTCTTAGATGAATCATCTCGTTGTATTTGTTGTTCTACTGATTTCAAGTTTGACTCATCGACAACCAGATTACCAGCTGTTAAAGCTGAAGGGTAAGCTTCGGCAGCATAATAACTTTTTGTTATGTTATTACTAGTAACAATAGTAGATGTTGATGATGGTGATGAGGGTTTTTCGTTTGATCGAGAGGAAAGAAGTGGAAAATATTTATAAGTACGTCGATTAATAATAATATTATTATTTACATATATTGATCTACCATGGATTTTAACAATAGGATTAGATAATTTTGGGAAAACTTTAAAATAACGAGTTGTAGCCATCAATAATAAAAATTTAAACCTCGTTTTAATATATTTTTTTTTTTTTTTCAAGAATCTGCAGATTGTTCTAATTAATTAATTATTTATTTTTAATCTAATAATTATCTAATCATTAATCTAATCTGATATCTGACACATAACACCTAACACCTAATTAGGAAAATTTCCAAACTCCTGGAAACAAATATTTTTAATTTCTCTTGCATACATATAATATATATATGTATACGTGTTATATAATACAATGAATTTTTATAAAAATATTAATAATTTGATTTATAATTTTTAATTTATAGTTTCAAACAGGAGGATAAACAGGACATAATGCAGTAAATAAATAATTTTTTCCTTCCGAGAAGTAACGCTTTTCGTCTTATTTTTAAATCTAATCATTTATCTAATCATCATCATTCAATCTTTTTTTAATATAATAATTATTTAGTATAAACTTATACCCAGAAAAAAAAAAAAAGGAATTACTTAATTTATAGAATTTTTTTTTTTATTAAAAAAACATTTTTATGGAAAAAGGTTTATCATCATCTTCGTTACCTTCTTTTCAAATTTTTCTTCTTTTTTTTTTTCTTTTTTTTTTCTTTTTTTTTGAAAATTTAAATAATAATTTATATAACATTTAACCTTATTTTTTGTACTCAACAAAAAAAGGAACGTTGATTGACATTGACGTTTGATTAAAACATATGTTAGACGCTTATAATTTTATTGGATAAACATACATGCATATATGTGTTGATTAAAATGTAAACTATGCTAAAATTGGTGAGTATATCGCATTGTGCAACTTATTTTTTTTAATTTTTAATTAATAATTAATTTTATATATGCAAATGAAATTTATAGAGTGTCGATCCAAGTAAGATATACTCAGTAATAAATTAAGTTCAGAATAAAATAGAATAAAATAGAATAATATACCAAAGGTATGTAAAGTTAGTTTATTTGCATCACATCACAGGAATTGCTCGCTAAAAATAATAATATAATTAAATAAAAATATTTATTATTACATTCTTATTCCTTAAGTAGTAAGCATTCTTTAATTTTTGTCAATAAATGTTCATGCGAGTTTTTACTAAATGTATTACAGAACTTCATCATCGATCGTAATATTATAAGTCCAACACCCAAAAGAATAACTAAATATAATAAAATAATAAAAATATAATAATCAAATATATATAATAAATATAATAACTAAAAGGTAATATAATAAAACTAAATATAATACATATAATAACTAAAAGGCAATATAAATATTAATGATAATAAAAAAAATAATGAGCCCCTTTTTAGAATATTATTTATAAATGTAAATAAAATGGTGGTCAAATTTTAATTTTTTTTTCTTCTTTACAAAATATTACTATAAAAACTGAAGCAATATTTGTAGTAATATTAAATATTAATTATTATTATTGTTATTTGCCTTTGATAATACTTTTTTATACGATTTATATTATTATATATTATTATATATATTATTTTATATTATATATATTATTATGTACTGTTTGTAAACAAAACTTATTAAAAAACAAATTTACTTTTTTTCCTTTTTTTTTTTTTTTTTTGTTCTCTTCTGTTTTCTTTTCTGTTCTTTATTGTCCTTTTTTTTTTCTTTGCACTTTCTTGTTGTCTTTTTATTGAAATAATAATTAACAACAATGAATGCTTATCACAATTTTGATGCTTCCGGTCTAAGTTCTAATAATAATAATAACAATAACAATAATTTTGAAGTTTATCAAATGGATTATGATTTTTTACATTCTGACGAAAACATAATAAAGAATACTACGGGAGATACTCTTATATCTCCTTCCTCCTCTTCTTCTTCAGCAGTAGTAACATTAGAACTCAAACAACAACAACAACAACAACAACAATGTCATAGTTATACTACTCAACAGTCTTTACCTTTTAATACTACCAATACATTACAACAAAATAATGGAAGTAATAATGGTTGTATGTTACCAACTCCTGAAGGTTGTGATCACAATGTTTGTTCCGATATAATGTTGATGTCTCCTTTCGCCATAATGTCTAATGAATTAAATATTGATGATGAGGTAATTTTATATCTTTATTATTTTATTATTTATTATTTATTATTTATTAATTTATTTTTCTTTTTTTTTTTTTAAATAAAAATTAAATCATTGATTATTATTAATATATTTAATTAAAATTCATATAGTTTTATCTCGAACCATTGGGATCTCCAGCTCTTGGATATTTTTCAAATTATTTACAACCTGTACTTTTGTCACCGTTAACATCACCAACATTACATCCGGATCAAGATAATAATACACAACATCAATCAAATAAATCATTTTCATCCGGACAGTTAAATAATTCTTCATCGATGATGATGAATTTAATGTTATCATCATCTTCAATGGCTCCTCTTTCTCCTCCTCCTTCCTCCTCCTCTTCTTCCTCCTCCTCCTCTTCCTCCTCCTCCTCCTCTTCTTCGTCTTCTTCCTCTGTTACCACGATTACTACCAATAATACCAATAATACCAATAATACTAATAATGCCAATAATACTAATAATACTAATAATATCCAAAATGTTTCGGAAATGCCCTATTTAAGTCTTGGTAGTGATCTTGTATCATCTATGCCTAATACACTCTTTTTATTAAGTGGTAATCCTAATTGTTGTAATTCTTCTTCCGTTGCTTCTTCCTCTTCCTTTCAGGATAAGATTGATCCCATAACTCCATCTACACTTATGAGTTTAAAACCACAATCTACTACTTCTCTTAATAAACCAAGTCATCATAAATCCAATCATCATAAATCTAATCAATCAGAACAAAAATCTCCTAAACGACAACAAATAATACAACAAAAACAAATAATACCGCAAAAACAGATAATACCTCAAAAACAAATAATACAACAACAACAACAACAACAACAACAACCACCACCACCACCACAACCACAACAGATACAACCCAATTTATCAAAAGAACGAACGTCAAAAAATAAAAAAAATAATAATAGTCAATTGCCTCTTTTTATCTCACCACCCGCCCCTAAATTATCACCCACCCCTAAATTATCACCCACAAATACAACGAATCTTTCTTCTACTACTTCATCATCATCATCAAATGGTGTAAATGCAAGAATAAAAAGTCCTCAAGGTTTGAAACCTACAATAAGTCCTAATCTAAAACCAAAATTACATGGAATAATTGCTGATGAAGTTGCAGAACAATTAGCTAGTAAATCAAATTATCAAAATATTTTAGAGGGGACAACAAAGTAAGTGAAGTTCAAAAATTTTAAAATTCAAAATTCAAAAAATTATATATGTAAATTATTAATAATTCATCATTTAAACATATTATTAGATCACTTGGTATTTCATATCCTTCATATGTACATTCAAGTTTAGAATCTCGGCGTACCACACATAAAGCTGCAGAACAAAAACGTCGAGATTCATTAAAGCAAAGTTTTGATGAATTAAAAAAAGTTGTACCATTTCAACCAACCTTATCCAATAATTCAAATTTGAGTAGTAATAATAGTAGTAGTGGTAATAATAGCGATGTGAGTAATAATGGTAATTCTAATACAGGTGGTAAAAATGGCGATGGCAATGATTTAATGAAAAATGTATCTAAATTGTTTTTATTAAAGAGAGGTAAATTTATTTTTATTAATTATTTTTATTAATTATTCGTCTTTAATCATTCTTCTTTAATTACTTTTTAAAATTATTTAACAATTAAATTAATTACATATAATTCTTCTTTTTTCAGCCCATGACCATATTGTAGATCTTCATAATCAAGCCAGAGAAAAAGATGATCTCATTCAGAAACTAAAAGATGAAATTGATGAATTAAGGCAATCATCATCAAAAAGGCAAAAAATTGAACAAAATGATGATAATAATAATGATAGTGATGATGAAAATATGAAATTAGTAGAAAAAGAAAAAGTAAAAGAAGTGAAAGAAGTGAAAGAAATGAAAAAAATAGTAGAAAATAATAAAATTGATGTTAATATCAACAATAACAATAATAATAATAAAAATACTTCTACCGCTAAAATGAAATCATCTAAATCATCAAAATCTGAAAACAAAAAAGAAAAAAAATGAATTCATTTTTTTTTTATTATGCACCATTTTTAAGAAAATTCCTTCAAGATTAAGCATTTTTATGTTAATAATATTATACGATTTCTTCAAATTTATACATAAACACAACACTTTTACTTTAAATTACATTTTTTTTCTTTATTTATTTCTTTAAAAAAAAAAAAAAATTTATTTCAAAAAAAAAAAAAAAAATTATTTGTACATAGACTTTTTTTTCATTCATCGTTTTTTTTTTTCGGCACAATTATTTCCTTTATTTTGACTTAAATATTTTTCCTTCATCGACTTTTAAATATAATTCGGGTTATTTTTTTAATAATTCACTTTTTTTTTTTATAAGATGTATTACTACAATTTTAGTGAGAATAATTAGCATTACATTAATTAGTGAGAGTTTTAATTTTTTATGACTTATTACATTACATTACATTTATCACAAAATTATTATTTTTTTTTTTTTTATATTATCTAGAAAAATAATGACACCGCACTAACAATCAATATCAATAAAATAAAAAATTTGAAAAATTTGAAATTTTATCAAATAAAAAAAAGACATTTTTTATTATGAACAATCATTTTAATTTTTATAAACAAAAAAATAAATTGCAGAAAAAAAAAAAAAAAAAAAAGTAAATAAATAATATATACAGGATTAATTTTATATATGCACATAATATGTACATATGTGATTAATATTGATATATATGTATATATATATATATATTTTTGATATTTTTGGTATAAATATTTTTGGATATATAATAATAATTTCTATTAACCAACCAATCCTTCAAGATCATTATCATCCTCAATAACAATTGGATGACTTATACCTAATTTTAATCTTTCTACTAATCCTAATGATTGTTGTGATTTTCTACTTGAAACACTACTATCTCTATTTAAATATTCAGTTGTACCACTATATGATTCACTCGTAGTAGTGGAATTAGGATCAATGAAGAATTCGGATTTAATGGGATTTCGATTATTCGATGGAGGTGATAAAGGTGGTGATGGGGATGACATTGATGGATTGTTGTTATTGTCGTTGTTGTTGTTAAATGTTAAAGGTGATGACGATGATGATGATGATGATGACGATGAGGAGGAGGAGGAAGAGGCGGAAATGGATGAATTAATATCTGTAGTAATAATTATTGGTGGTCTTTTATCATTTGATAAGAATGATTCTCCCATTATTATACTTGATTCATTTGGTGTTGTATTGTAAACTTCTCTATTATCTTCTCGATAAGGATAAAGATTCATTGATGATTCATTTATTGGGGGTAAACCAGCTGAAAATCTCGAACTTTGAATACTTATATGTTGTGATTGTTTTCCATCATCTTTACCAATAGATTCTTTATTATCATATTCTTTACTATATTCTTTGTTATTGGTGGGAAGAGTAGATGAATTTTGAGAAGGATATGAACGTGATAATCTATGAATACTTCCCAAACTAGCTCGAATACCAAAAGCATGTTCATTTTCATCTTCCTTTTTAAGATTATCGGATTCTGCATTCTTTGAAAAAGATGAATCATCTTTTTTAGATTTAAATAATAAAATAATACCCGAACATATTACGAAAAAACCCATTACAACTGTAGCGATACTAATAGGAGCAGATTTAAAACCTTGAGATAATATAGCTGAACTTATTATAGTTAATCCAGTAAACGTAACATAATATACTGGTGTTACCATAGCGGTGTTAAATAAATTCAAAGCTTTGTTTAAGTAATTGATTTCGGTTAATAAAGTAACAATTACGAACGCGGATAATACATAAAAAAACCACTCTTTGAATTGATTTTCTCCAGGTTTAGTAATTGTGGTAACAATAGCTGTTCCTATTCCTTGAGTTGTAACCACTGAAAGAGATCCAATAAGTGAACAAACACCAATGTAAACAAATAGATTTTTTGATCCCCATTTTGGAGCAATTTTCCAAATTATTATTATTGAAGTTGCTATACAAAATATGGCGTATCCCATGAAAACTAGAAATATTAATTAATATTATAAATTAATTAATAAATTAAAATAAAATTAAATAAATAAAATTAAATAAAAAAAAAACTTAATTAATAATTAATTCATACCAGGAGCAAAAAATAAATTTTTAAATTCTTGAATGGTTGGAGCAGTTTGTTGAGCTGGAGCATGCATGACTATAATAGTTGCACCCATAACACATAGAGCACAACCAACTTTGCCTTCAAATGTTAATCTTTCTTTAAGGAAAATAGATGATAAGACTGCACTAAATAATTATTTGATTATTAATGTATAAAATAATATTTTAAATAAATATAATGTACAAATATATATATGCAATGTAAAAGTATAATAAATAAATGATAAAAGTAATGATAATATAAAAAATAAATTTATAAATACCTTATGACTACACTGAGAGCACCCAAAGGAGTAACCAAAATTGCTTGGGTGAATGCATAAGCTACAAAATTGCATATTTCTCCAATAATCACTTTTTTTTTTTTAAATAAATAAATAATAATAACAATTAGTTTTATCTTTTCATTATAAATGATAACAATATATATATAACAAATAAGTAATTTATAACATACTAAGTATCATTCCCATCCACCATAATGAATTTGCAAGATATGCATGTCCTTTACCAGCAATTCCTAATTCAATATATAAATTAATTACAAAAATTAATTTTACTGACTAGTAGTAAATATTTTGAGGATAACAATAAATAAATGTACACACCCCCTGCTTGAAGTAATCCTTTTTTCTTAAATACAAATGATGATCCAATAAAAAAACCTTTTAAAATTATAATAAAATAGATTTAATTAATAAAAAATATATAATAAAATATATTGAAAACATGATTTTCATAAAAACATACCACTGGATAGAGCGAGGATTATACCAATTGTTTTGAATAAAGCGTCGTTAGAATTATCTGAAGAAATCGAAGTGGCATTGAATGATCTAACTGTCAAAGTATTCATTTCGTTGGTTTCCGAATAGGTTTTTGTTGTGTTATCGTTATTATCGTTAAAATATATATATATATATATATATATATTGGAATTTTTTTTTTTTTTTGCTTTTCTTTTTACTTCTTTTGATATTTTTTTTTCGAGATTGTTTAAATAAAAAGGTGAACGTTGATTGTCATGAAAGATAAAATATAATTAAAAAAAAAATATAAAAGAAAAGTGGTTGGATAATTTTCCTTTTTTTCTTTTGTTGATTTTTGTTAATTTTTAATGAAAGTTTTGGCGTGATTAAATAATTGATATTCTATTATAATTATCGTTATTGATAAGAAAGTGGTCGAAGAATAAAAACTAAAAAAATTATTGGGATTTTAGTAAACTGGCTTTTCTGTATAAAATATCAAAATATATAATCACAATAGTACAGCTGCCAGAGCGTCTATTGGAAAGAAAGAAAAGTAATATAAGAAGAAGTAAAAGAGAAAAACAAAAAGATTTGAGTTTACCTTTGAATGTAAATAAATATATATATATAGAAACCCAGAACAAAGGATGAGATACACAACACAAAAATAATCGATGATGATTATGAACAAAAAAAATAATAATTTCGAACGGATAATATCATTTGATGGGATTTAGTAATTTGTATTGTACAGATTTCCTGGTTTGGGGAAGAAACCAAAAGCAGGATGGTTTTACAATTAAATGATACATTTAATACATCGAGAAACACGCAACTTAATTTCTCCTGTCTGTTTAAAATTAAACTTTAGAATAAAAAAAAAAAAAAATCCGGAAAGAAGGAAATTATCACCTAGCAAGACCAGTCCCTAAATGTAGAAATCATCATCATCCTTCATTGTGGTTGGTTTTATATATTTTATAAATTAGTGTCTTTCTGGAATTACTCAAATTTGGTTGGCTTGTACTAAAAATAACAAGCCATTATCATGTTTCTTCACCTTAAACAATTGAGGCTTTTACCATTTTGTTCATTATTGAGGCTTAGTAAAACAATTATTATTTTTATGGTTTAATGGGGCTTTTCTATAATCATTCATTTCATTTTTATCAATTTATTATTAGCGGTTAAATATCTGAAACATTCTTTGACCGTTTTCCTTATATTCTAATATCCTTATATACTTTATCTTTGTTAACCTTTAAATTATTTAAAATATTTTTATCATTGAATTTATACAAGACAGACAAGTTATTTTCATATTAATTTATAATATCGAGATCTTATTACGTAACGTTAATGCATTATGATAAATTCTTTATTACTGTGCTGTCAACTTAAAATTTTCTGAATGGATGTTAAAGTAATTTAAAAATTAGTCACATAAAATAATAAAACATCTTAAAAATATATAGTGTGTACATTAAAATTGAAATTAAATTTATAGTCTTTAAATAGTATCAATAAGAAGAAAAAAAAATATCCGAATTGAATTAAATTGCCGGAAACGACTAAATAACGATAAAAAAAAAAAATTTTTTTAATTAACAAAAAATAAAATAAAAATTTAATTAATATAATTAATATAATATTTTAAGAAATACTTACTGAGATGGAAATAAAATTTAGTTGAAATTTTTCTTTATTCTTAAAGTTGGTTTCTCTTTCTCAACTGGTGTAAATTTCTTGTGGATGTGATTTTGTAATTAAAGTGGAATTGATTAAATCTTAAGATTTTTGAACAACTTAATGATATTTTTAAATTTTAAACCATAATTTCATTATTGAGCTGACAAGTAACTCGAGCATCCCCACATTGCATAATTATTCTTGTAATTAATTTTGGAATGTGAAATGAAATTTTTGGTTGTAATCCATTACATATTCTAATCTTATATAATTTTTCATAATTGAATTTTGGTTGTAATCCATTACATATTTGTCTAGCTACATTAGACTACATCTCTTTAACGTATATATAAAATACGATGTAAAACCAGTAGCTATCTCATTTCAAAAGAATAAACATCAGCAGCTTATTCTTTTAAAATAACTTCACAAGCATATCTTAAAAAAATTTTTTTTTTTGGATATTATACACAAATATATATTTTAAGTTGACAGCAAAGTATTTATAAACTCATCCACTTAACGAAAACCACCTTTTGCTATCTCTTTAATCCATAATAAGGAATTCGATTCTCATATGAGTACAATATATATATATCAAATATTTTTCATTTCTTGTTGAAAAAAAAAAAATTTTTTTTTTTAAATAAATTTGTAATTTAAGCAATTTAGTGGGTTATTTTTTATTCGTGTATTCGGGTGTTACCATTAATTAATATTTACATATTTTAAAAGTGCGTACAAAAGTTTTTTTTTTTAATATGGATCACGTTACGTTATCATGACTTTCGTGACTACGCAATACGGGTTTAATATCTAAAATTACTAATCGTTATTTCATTAAATTTTGCTTAATATAGTGTAGAAAATCTCAATATTTTTTAATTAACTTTATTTGTAAATAAGATTTCAAATTTTAAATGATATATATATATATATATCATACTTTTCAAGAGTTTACTATTTATAAATTAATTTTTCTTAAAATGGGATAAATTCTTAATTTTTTCTTAATACTTAAGTAAATATAATATAATATCAATAATAAATATTAATATAATTAATTAATTAGAGTTAATATAATTAATATAATATATATAAATAATATAATATTATATAAATAATATTAATTTATATAAATTATTATATAATATATATAAATAATATAATATATATAAATAATTTTAACCACCAAATTCCAAATGTCCTTTAACAGCACTACCAACATTAGTTAAATCAATTAAGAAAGTATCATGACCATACATAGAATCTAATTCATAATAAGTTACATCATCATTTCCACCTTCTCTTAAACATTCAGCAATTTCTTTTTGTTGCCAAAAAGGGAATAATATATCAGATTGTACTCCTAATACTAAAGCAGGAACTTGAATTTTAGACATTCCTTGTACAAGATCATTTCTATCCTCAATATTTTTAGAAATTAATGATGACATATGTTTACGTTTTGGTTGTGAATGTGATTGTGATTGTTGTGATGTAGCAGAATTATTTGAAGGTATATAACACAATTGATCATTAATTAATCCTCCTATTCCATATTTTTGAAATTTTTCAGTGTTTATCTTTCGTTTTTGATTAATTATTTCTAATGTGGATAAAGACATATCAAATAAATCCATTGCTTTTGAAATATATAAAAGCGAATTTGGATCATATTGTAGACAGAAACGTTCACCCTTATTAATTAATAAGAATTGATAAAAAAAGAGAAAGGTTATTTATTTATTTATTTATTTTATTTAAAAATTGAAATCATGAAATTCATGAAATTAAGATATATTACCTGATGATCTAGATAAGTTTCAATTAGAAAGTCAGGACACAATGCTGGGTCTTGATCTGCATTTGCACGTTTTCTACCAAATCTTTGTTCCCATTCAGGACCTGATCGATAACTATTTATAAATAATATTGTGTAAGAATAAAGTTAAATTAAAAAAGAATTCTCAATTAAAAGAATGATTACCTAATAGTAGCAATTTCACGAGCCAACTATCAAATATTATCAAAATATTATATTAAATTTATGAATAATAAAAAATTCAATGCAGAATTCAATGTATAAATGAATATAATACCTTCATCCCAACATGTGGAATAATTGAATTATAATAAAATCCTTTATTCCAATTCGGATCAGACATCAAAACTAAAAAATATAATAAATATAATAAATATAAATATAATAAATAAATATATAACGTAAAATAAACGCGAGGAATAATATAATTATAATCACCTTGACGCTGAGTATGTCTTAATGCAATTGAATAAGGATGAGATCTCGCACAAGCAGAAATACTAACAATTTGTGATACTCGTTCTGGATATAAATGGGCAGCTGCTAATGACTAATTATATAATTATATTATATGATTCTTATTATATTATTTAATATTAAAAAATCTTTATAATAAAAAAAAAAAAAAGAATAATTAAATAATTAAAACAATACCTGCATTCCACCCATACTACTACCCACACTAGCATATAATTTATTAATTCCCAAATTATCTAATAATAAGAATTGAGCTCGTACCATATCAAAAATTGTTATTATAGGAAATCTAGTTGCATAACGTTCTCCATCTGAAGGATCAATTCCTGAAGGACCAGTTGAACCATAACATCCTCCAATTACATTAGTGCAAATGACAAAGAATTTATTGGTGTCAATTGAAAGTCCTGGACCTAAGTTATTATTATTATTATCAACAACGAAAATTATTTATTAATAAAGATAAATATTATTTAATCGAATTTATTAATAAAGAGAGATATATAAAGATATCTATATCTATTAATTAAATATATAATAATACATACCAATAAATTGTTCCCACCAACCAGGATTAACATTATTTACATGACTTTTGGCATGACTACTTCCAGATAATCCAGTATGAATTAAAATTGCATTATCTTTTTTTTCATTTAATTCACCCCAAGTTTCGTATGCAATATCAAATTCTGGTAAATAACCTCCATAATCACATAATAATGGTTTAGTATGATGATAAACCGAATATCCTGAAACTATTTTTTCATACGCAGGTTCTGGTCCTCCATCTAATGATCTAGTACGAAATAATAAATTATCAATACAGGGAAAATCTAATGGTGGATTTGATCCGATTTTTTTATCAATAATTTCTGTTGTAGCTGCTTCTTCTACTGTTGTTTGTGGTGGTGGTAATGAAGACGGAAATTCCAAAGGTGAAGAACTAGTGGAAGCATTCTGTGTTTTTTTGGAAGTATGTATTCCTATAAAAAAAAATGGCAATAATAATAATAAAAATAATTAATAATTAATAATTATAACAATAATAATAATTATTATTATTTATTCATTTATTTTTTTTAAAAAAAGAAAAATAATTACCAGCATTTAGACCATTTTGCAATAAACGCGTAGATTTAAATTTAGGTGTTATAACGTTAAACTGCTTACAAATTGGACGCGACAAACTCCTCGATTTTGTATATTGAAAAATATTACGAAACAAACTAGCCATTTTTTATTATTATTTAAAAAAATCAATGGGATAAACAGGGAAGGGGAAGGAAATTTTGTCGTAATTCTTTCAAAAAAAAAAAAAAAAAAAATCGTAGATAGATTATATTTATAGTGTTTAGATATTCTTAACAATTTTTTTATACCCAAAATATCTAGTTTATTAATTGAATAGTAATCCAAATATAGAAAAGGGAATTTTTTTTTGATTTTCATAAAAATGCATAAAAATGAAGTTTATTTCCTTATTCCTTCATTATTCTAATATAAGATATCAATTAATATAATTAATATTCTTTATTTAATCAAGGCAAATTAATCAATTAAATCAATAGCTTAATTTAGCAATATTTTTATATCACTATTATTATTATTATTATTAAATTTAATTATTATTACTATGACTGTATTATTACTATTATTATTATTATTATTATATATTTTTATTATTGTTATTTTATATTATTTTATTGTTAAAATAAAAGCCCCCGAGATCCGAAAAGAACAACAAAATGATGAGAACAAATAATGAGAAAGCCAAAAAAAAAAATAAAGGAATTTTGAATTTTTTTAAATATTGAAAAAAAAAATTAAAAGAAAGAAAAAAAAAAGGAAGTAACAAAAAGAAACAACAATTGATTCATTATTTTTCTCATTTAATAATTTTCTCAAATGTAAATAAAATAATATTGAATAAACAATTATAAAGAATATAAGAACCTTTAATCATTATTATTAAATTATTATTATTATTAAAAATCAATAATTCACAAATTCATGAAATAATAATCATGAATTAGCCAAATGAGCTCGATAATGTGTTTCACAATATGGTTTCTTATCATGTATATAATAGTATGAATTTGTAAATGGTTCGTAACATGTCTATAATAAAAAAAAAAATAATAAAAATAATAAATATAAATTAATATAAATTAATATAAATTAATATATAAATTAAATTTAAATTGATACAAACCTCGCAATAAAAGCAATCACGATGCCATTTTTCACCCAATGCATTAACAAATTCACCGCTAACTGGTTCTTTACATCTTGAACATTTAGGTGCTAATAAATAAATAAATAAATAAATAAATAAATAAAATCATCAATAAATTATCAATCAATAATAAAATATTTACCAAACAATTTCATCCAATCCTTTTTACAATAAGGATAACCATCATTAACCATAAAATTTCCACTTTCGAATGGATTACCACATTCTCGACAGAAAAAGTGTCCAGGATGCCAAACTTTTCCGAGTGCACTGATTTGTTGCTATTCGAATATACAAACATTTATATTATATATAAATAGTAAGTAAATATTATAAATATTAAATATATATATATATATATATATTTTAATATAAATAGAAATAAATATTATAGAAACATTAATAATATATAAATTAATAATTAATAATTAATTAATAAATAAATAAAATGGAAAGATAAATGAAATAAGTACAAACCCCTTCAATTGGAGTATTACAAGAAGCACATCTTTGACTAAATAATTCATGATAATCCAAATGACAATATGGTTTACCATCTTTTTCAAAGAATCCGACATGTTCCAAAGTATTATTACAATGTGTACATGTGAAATGTTCCGGATGCCATTTTTTTCCCAACGCTGATAAAACAGTTCCACTTATGGATTTATCACAAGCTGCGCAATCGAGGGATAATGAAGTTGGTCGACTTTTGTTATTCGCGGGTTTTATACTTGTGATATTTGTAGATTTAATATTAATATTATTATTATCCTTGTTGTCATAATTATTATCATCCTTATTATTATTATAATTATTATTATTATTCTCTTTGATATTATTATTATTATATTTGTTGATATTATTATTATTAATATTATCATTAATGTTATCCTTATTGTTCAGGCCAATGATACTATTCCTTAATGGAATTTTTGAACTTCTTCTATCAATTTGATCAATGGGCGGATATTTTGATTTGGCTTCTTCGTAACGAGAATTTAAATTTAATTCGATCTCTGATTTCCTTTTTATTTCTTGTATACTAGAATCTCGTTTCTTCTTATTCATTAATGTTTCATTTTCTTCTTGTTTCGTTGAAGAATTATTTGGTGATATCGTTGACTTTTGTAATGGTGCAGATGAATTATATAATCTATGAGCTGCCGATAGAACATAATGTCCTTTGACATTGTTTACAGTCGTCGTAGGTTCATTCCGATTCTTTTCAGATTCCTTTTCTTTCGATGATATTTTATTATCTTTCTTATTATCCATTTTATTATCCATCTTATTATCTGTCTTATTAATGTCCGGTTTTAAAGAAAGTTTAGTTTCCAGTGGATAACTTAGATCATCTACAATTTCATCAATGACATTCCTTTGTTTTTTATTTTCCGTTACCGTTGTTGAACTTTTGAAATTATTTAAATTATTATTTTTACCTTTATTATTATTATTATTATTATTATTATTATTGTTATTATTATTATTAATGCTGTTAATATTAGATAGACCAGTAATGCTATGACGTTTATTATCCTTTATATCCGAATAATTATTATCCTGCACTTTGGGTAAACTATTACGTTTTGATGTCGGTTGAACACGTGGTCCATGAACCATACCATATTTTCTCTCATTAGTTGCGGAATTAGTTGAAACTGAACGTTTAGGTTGAGAAGAAAAGTCTTCTTCAAGGTGACTTTTGGGAGGTGGTGGTACATTAATCGTCGTTGATCTTTTAGGTTGAGTTTTAAGTGCATTAACTGCGATTGAACCCGCATTACTACTATTTGCGGGTTTTTGCGCAGTTTCTGTAAGTTTTTTCAAGTAATTGTCTGAATAAAAGAAAGAAATATTTATTAAAATGAATATTAAATAATTTAATTTTTTTTTTAAATCATGAATTAATTTATTCATTTACCAAGTTGGTCTCTTGTCAAATATGCCATTTTTTTTTAAAAAAAAAAAAAAAATAGTGAACAAAAAAAAAAATAATATATATTATTAAAATTAGTCCCTTACTTATTCTATATACATATATTTAAATAAAACCTTATTCTAAGTCAAGGAAATATGATGTAATATGAATAATTAAATTTGGAAAAAAAGATTACAAAGCGGAGTCTTAAGTGACACCCCTTGATATCATCATATCACAAAGAATATTTCTTATGTCACTATTTACGTTTGATGATGTTTATCAGCCTCGCTTTTACCCTACCTAAAAATAAAAATATTAAAATTTAATAATAAGGATTTCTTGGATGTGGCGTGTGATTTATAAAGA